AAACATTACAGACCAGAACTAACATGCATCCCTTGCACACCACATTGTCAATCGCTAAATTTGCATATTTCTGGCACTAACGCACTTGCAGTTGTGCAATTTTGCGTTCAGTTGTATTTAATTAATTTAAATAATTACAGCATTGAGCATTGGTTGCAACATAAACTTAGCATATTTTTTCTCATTATCCTTTCCTTTTGATAGTCAGTGCAGATGAAAGCTTTTTTTTAGACTGTGTACAGGGTTGCCACGCTACCTGGAGAACCGGGAAAAGTCAGGGAATTCGAAAATTGACCAAAATATTCAGGGAAAAGTCAGGGAATTTAAGTATATTTGTCAAAATCTGGAAAAGTCAGGGAAGTTCATACAACGATCCCGCCAAAAAAAGCGATTTTTGCGCTGACGTCGGAAGAAATAACTTTTTTGGCGAATCACGTGAGTGTCATTCGGGTAGCTGGCATAGAGCCAATTTTCGCAGCTCCAATTTGATTATCTTTTAAGCCGTTATCACATTGGCTGTTTGTTGCCGGGACAAAACGTTTGTAGCAACAGTTCTGAGAAACGGCCTTTGGCGAAAATTAGGGTTACCATCTTCACTTGGCAACAGGCTGAAAGCCAAACAAAGAATCAGTTATCCTCAGATTGGCGAAAGTGACGTTTCCTTCAAGTGACATTCGCTTCTTCGTGTTGTTTGAATCGCTCACACGCTTTTCGTTTTAAACTTTAGTAATGGAAGATAATAGAAAGTGATTGCTATCAAGTTAATCACTTTTGATCTCCACTCATGGCACTTCATTTAACAGATAAAAACCACTTCTGGTTATAGCAATCAATTACATCAGTAATAGCCAAATTCTGTATACACTCTAAGAATAGTTTAAAAACATGTGCTGGATAAGTCTATTTATCACACATCGCTTATGTGTATTTTCTGTTGTCTGCATTTCAATGAAAATTTGTGACCTAGTGAAAGCATTTTCTGACTAACTTTATGGCTCATAATTACTGTTTTGTCCATTCAAATGACAAAAATCTATATGGCTGATATTTACCTCCTCACAGCCAGCAGATACTATTCAGCAAAATGAAGATCAAATAAAGCATATGAATACATGAACAATCAAACAATGTGCGAGTTGTTTACTGTCCCATAGAACACTCGGTAATATACCTAAAATGCATTAATTTGCATTATCACATTCCTTGTAGCGATTATAAGTTCATAAAGAGTTTCGGTTTATGTTTGGTTTCTTGTGATTACAGCAAATCTCACGATGGCTATCTGACTAGGTGGAGGGATGCCTTCGTGGAGGACGTTTTAATGAGAAACTGGCTCCTATACACGGTATACATGGGAAAACCAGGAAAACGCCCACTGCAGCTAGCTCCTTCGCGGTTCGATTCTCGACCGAACTACCAGTGTTCAGCGGACTTTACCGCTCGGCCGCTGGTGGGCTCAGTTGGTTTTAGTGATTACCGCAAAGCCTCGAGGGATAACAACAGGAGGGATCCCTTTGTAGAAGATTTTTTAAAACTGGCTCGTATACCAGTTACAAATGGGGCAAACCAAGAAACGTCATGTAGCCAGCCCGTTCGCGGCATTCTAACCTGAGATAGAACTACCAGTGCTCAACGACGCTTCGGCCACTAGTAGGCCCGTGCACTTAATTGGAAAGTGCAATTCATTATGTAAACAAACATGAAGGTGATAATCAGTTGAGCGCTGTTTTAAGTAATCAAATGTTATAAATGCACAGCTGTTACATTTCTTATTATTTATTAGTCATGTTTTTATTACGTAGATCATACATATGATATAATTATGAATTAACCCAATAACAAAATGTGTACACTCTTTAGTACTCAAATACTCATCAATTATTTTTCAACTGATTATTACATACCCATAATAATTTGCAAAGAACTGATAACTATAGTTGCTGCCAATTACATAATCGTTATCTGAATTAAAAGTAACTTCAAATAAACTTCTTGGCAATGTTCATTTTTGTATTCATACATACATATATATATATAACACATCTAATAAGTCATATATTTACATACAGATAGAGAGATGCGATGTTTTTAGAAAGTTGTTAATATATATTTATTAGTATTAATGTAATGAATAAGATTTATATTAATGAATGAATACAAATGTTTTTCACATGCATAATAATAAATCCATAAATTTTCAATGTTTCAAATGTAGCATTTCCAATAAAAGTATAGTTTCTAATTCAAAAAATATTTCATTAATAACATGAAAATAATAGACAAATTTAATGAGTATTCTCATTATTACATAAGCTATGCTTTTCTTTTTTATGCATCTTTTATGCTGTTTAAAATGTGTCACTGATATGCAGTTAATATTTAAAAGATAAGTAATTAGGAGAAAGCCGGCATAACAAACGGATTTTAAAAAATTATTCACTTAAATTTAAGAAATAAAATTCTATTATATAACAGTGTTATAATACACGATCAGCACGAAATACGACAAATTTGGATCGGCATCTATTTCCACCATCCATCACTTCACAGTGAGAGCCATCGCCATATTGAAAGTTACCGTGATCTTCAGAAGCTGACTTCGTCTGATTGGTTGAACGTTCGAGGAACACGTCTCAGCTGGAACATTTGGGAAAAGTTTTAAAATGTTGTCGTAGCCGGGACACGTTCCTCCTAGTTAGAGAAACATTTCCCGGAGCCTGCCGCTTAAAGCGTGCTACTAGAATCTCGTTTCTCGGAATGGTCCCGGTAAGCGCGCGCGTCTATAGATGTGATAACAGCATTAGAAAGGCAAAGCAACTTTTGGTTTCCAGTATTCTCGAGAATCGCATGTGCAGTGCATGAACTAAAGAAAGTACCTGTTCTCGTATAAAACAAAATGGGTTTAATCCTAGTATACGGTACCATGGAGGTTAGAATCAAAGAATATGTATTGTAAAGAAGGAAAACCTCTCTGCAACAGACGTGGCTCCGTTCCATCATAGAGGGAAACAGCTGTGCATGTCTGATATCTGTCGCCAAAGCTCGAAACCGGTGTCGAAGTTCGAAGGTCACGTTATGAAGAGTTCATAAAATGAATATCGTTTAAAATTTCTTTAACGACTTACGCTAAAAAGACGTGCCACGCACTTCGAGATGCTTTTGTCTCAAACCGTGAGCGACGTGAACACCACGTCGATAAGCATTTATCTCAAAAATGAAAATAACATGGTGCACACGTCGCCTAACAACGAGATTGTTTATTTCTCGAGTTACAGCTCTGGATTGCACTCGCAGATGCGGAGCGGCGTAAATGAGACACTTTACCACTTGCTATATTGTAGCGCACGGCACCGCAACCATGAAGTTTAGTCTTAGCGCAAGTAGTTAAACTCTAAATTAAAAGAAAATATTTTTTGGCGCAAGTAAATTAATTCATAGGTTAGTAATTTTCAGGGGGAGGGAAACTACGAAAATCCGTTTTTAAAATTATTGCGTGGACTTTTCGCAATAATTTTAAAAACGGATTTTCGTAGTTTTCTTGTTGTCAAAGAGCGTTTCTTCTTAACACGTGTTTCTCAATTTCCTGTACACATCGCGGAGAGGGAAATTCTGGCCGCCAGGTTCCGTCGCCAAATCCCTTGGCAAATTTTCCCTCCGCATTCTAATGGCGTAATAGCATTTTACTTGTATGGAACGTTTTCTTCTTTACATAGACGTTCTTTGGTTAGAATAATAATGGGATTTGGCGACATCATGATGCTCAGTAAACGGGTCATTTTGTCTTGGCGACAATTTTCAAAATCGTGCCCAAAGCCTTACCGTATACTAGAATTTTACCGCAAAATCTTTTTAAACATTTTTTTTTTTTTTTTAATAAATACCTTGCCATTTTGTAGTAAAATAAAAAAATAGTAATCAGTTATCTAGGCTAGCCATGTAATATAACAATATTTGCTAAAATATCGTTGATTATTCTAATTCAATTTTTAAGTAATTATTTGTATGTTATATAATTTAATGTTGCTTCTTCCCTCTAAATTTATTTATTATTAGTAAATAATATTTCCAAATTTCAGGAAATTTTCTCTGGCATAATCCTGAAATTAATTATAGCAGTATGATGACATACCATCACGAAATTTAATGCACATATTTTTTTATGTATGCTGCAAAATAAATATAAAATACCTCAATTTATTAAAATAGATTTCTTTCTTTCGTTTAGCTGCAGAATGTCTGCAAAAAAAATCCTTATTTTATTCCAGATTGGGAAGATTCTAATCTCAATCTTCAGTGAAGAAAACAACAACTATTATAATTATATTTGTGTTTTCAAGTGTTAAGGTGCCTTTTAAGAACATACCTCACGCAAATTAAATTTACCTAAAATCTAACTTAACTATTTAGCATTGCGTTGTGATTTATAAGGACCGGATTAGCCTCATGGTGAACTGGTGATGATCATGAGTAATAATTAAATAAAACATACATTTGTTATCCAATGTATATATCTTAAATTTTATTAAGTTTCTTAAGTGGAAAACTAAACAAAATTATCAAACAAAGTATACCAAGAATAATTAAGAATAAATGTCCCCTCTGGGATTTGTTGAATAATTAAGTGAATTTGCTACACAACATACAAGTAATACCATAATTAATTTACCTCTTAGCACAGCCAACGTACATTACGCGGATAGACTGGAATTTTCTTGAAACACACCTGGAAAACCTGGAAAAGTCAGGGAATTTCATTCTCCTGTTTGAGTGGCAACCCTGTGTGTATTACGTTTCTAGTATGCAGAATCATTTGGAGTTTTCTTTCATCCTTCCCTTCCTATTTTCCTGTGCATAATTTCATGTAAACTATAAAATGTGGTAGTTACGAAAGTTTATAAAATGATGATTTTTAAAATTTTACAAGATATTCGGTTATTTGATGCTCCTGTGTAAAATGTTTTATTTTGTATTTATTTATAAGGTTTTAATGTTTCTGACAGAGTTCTTAGAGTTTTTCCTGCTGAACAAAGAAAGTCTGAACAGTACAAAAGAGATGCCCGGGAAATTTTATTTCAACAGGTCAGTATTACCTTTGTATTGATGTATGCCATTTATCATCAATATTTTTTTATTGTTGTTGTTATAGTATTTGTAACTATATGAGTGATATCGATTCAAGTCATCATCTGTTTCTGATAAATGAGAAAACAAACTGTAAGCATATTTCAGTCTTCTGATCAAAAAAGATGATTTGTAAATTTTTCTAAGTATTGGTATTTATTTGTAATTTGATTTTTGTATACTTTTTGTTGTACATTATGTTTGTATAGTATATATTGATGTTAGAAGTCTTTGAAAGTTTTGGAGTGTTATGTTACATTAACCTATATTACCAAGCAGGACATTTTGCCACCTGATGCAATCTTTACTGGTGCTAAATTCTGCAACAATCTGAAACAACAAATTCTAAAAATTTTGCTGCCCCTAAATTCTGCTGCCTAATGCCATCTCTAAATTGTGCTGCTTAGTACTTCAACCTGTGCAGATTCACTAGCTCTAGCACCAGTCCTGATACCAGAGTGCTGATCATCCATTGCAACTGCAACAGCACGTTTTACCATTGCAAGAACGTTGCACTGCCCTACACTGGCAGTTGAAAACCTATGTACATTATCACCAACTGATGGCCTTGATCTTTAATAGTATTGTTACAAAATGCCCAGGTGCGATAAAATGGCTTCCCTGCAAAACAAGTTTTAGGGTTGCCATAACATGGAGAGGGAAGGCAAGGTTGCCACATTTGGCGAGAAGTCGCAATTTGGCAACAAAATTGGCGATATGCATGGACGAATGGAGAACCTTCTGGAGCGAATTCTTACCGGTTTAGCCCAGAATGTTCTCGAACACAAGCCGAAAGCTATATAAACCCTGCTGGTCCGCAGTCAGTTGGTGAGTGTGTGTGCCTCGTCGAGAGGGCGAGAGTTAGTATCAAGTGTCTCGTCTAGCGAGTCAGTCCCTGCGAAGTCTCTCGTAGTGTATCACAGTTAGTGCTTTGTCAAGAGAGCGTGTTGAGCTCCAGGAATGACTGAACTCAAGAGTCGGGAGCTGTGTTCTGTGTGTTGTCAAGTGCATCGTAAGCTGTAGTGGGGAGAGTCTCGAGAATACGTGGAGTTCTGAGAATGGCCAAGCAAAGTCGGAAGCTGTACTCTGGTGCTTTGCCGTGAAGCTGTCTCCACCGTGATAGCCTGATAACCTGAAAGCTGTGTCGCTGATTGTTCCAGCGTGTTATTGCAGATCTTCGACGACTGTAAAAAGTGACTTTGGGGCTATCCTGATTAATACTGGCCAATAAAGTCTGTTTTTCGATACCTCATCAAGTGTCGTCATTATTCACTCCAAATCCATACGAACGTGAAGAAAAAATATAACATAACAATTGGTATCAGAAAAGAAATTACGTAGCAGTATCGTGGGTTTGGATGGTCACTGGAGTCTAAATTATGGTCAATAGTGTCTGCTGGTTTTGTTTCTTTTAAAACTTTATTCAAATATACTGACCTGTCTCACACTAGTAACCCATTGCAATGATGACCAATAACCATAATTCATGTGACCAACTGCTTTGTGATTACATGTCTTCTTGATTTAGTTATATTTCTAAAATTTATTCATATTTACAATCTTCATTAGTTTTATTTAAAATTTATTCATTTTACTGCTTACACTGTTGATCTATGGTTTGATATCCAGTGATCATCAGCTTAGCCAATGAACAACAGCTTTGCTGGTTACTGGTGTACTTCATTTTAATTTAAGAAAAATTCTCTAAATTTGCAATATTGTCTCACACTGATTATTCATTGATGACTAGTGTGGGGCAGTGACCATCATACTATAGGTCACTGGTGGCCAGCAATTGTGACAGGTACTTAGGTTCTCTAATGTAATTTTATTTTTAAAATACAGTCAAACCTCACTTAAAGGAGCACCTCCTACAACAAGTGATTTGCATAAGGAGCAAGAGAAAATGTAAAAATAATTACTGTCTTAACAAGTGATGTTTCAAAGAATGAGCGACATGGAGAAATTTTGATAAGGCATGCAGAGTCTTGCCTGCATCTCGTGTATCAGTTTGTCTCATTTATTTAGCTTTCATTCAGCTGTTGCTTTCATTCAGCTTGTATGTCAGTATTTAGCTTTCATTCAGCTGTTGCTTGTGAAAGTTTTATATAGAAACATTACTATGTATTTTTAGAAGGCAAATTTAAGTATACTCTCCTATTTGTCCTCAAAGAAAATACTGCAAAAAGACAGGGATAAGAGAAGAATAATCATTTTAGAAGTCATTGAGAAATGAACAAGGTGTGAGTGTGGCTGACCTATAATCAGTTTACATCACATATTCACTATTTTTAAAAATTCAAAAGACTGAGGATATTGTTGCTTCAAAATGTGTTGGAAGAATTTCTATGTAGTCGCCACATATTCTCGACAGTGTTCAAAAATTTGTTGCTTCTCATATGCATCAACAAGAAGCAAATGCAAGGCGACACTAAAAAGAAAAACATAAATTGTGAGAAGGCAAAACTCATTTTAGCTGACTTCATTTAGAAGATGCAGGATCATCAACAGACTTATTCAAAACAAGCCGTGGATGGTTCGGAAAGCTTAAGAGAACTACCATCTATAGCATTGTGAATCACAGAGAAGCTCGTGTGTCACCAATAAGCTCAGACATAAAATTTAGCTGAGAACTTCATAGGCGTATTCAAAAAGCTTGTGAATTCTGAGGGTTATCTGCCACACAAGGTTTATGATCATGGTAAGATAAGTTTCTCTGGAAAAAGAGCGCTGAAGCAAACTTATGTTGCAACAGAGAAGAAGGCTTTGCTAAGCCACAAGCTGATGAAAGACCTCATGCTATTTATATGTGCAGACGCAAGTGACAATTTGAAAATTAAACCACATCTTATTTAACATTTGAACAATACAGGAACCTTCAAGAAGTGTAAAGTCCAGAAGAGCTGGTTCAATGTCATGTCTAACAACAAAGTTTGGGAACACAAGATCTTTTTACTGATTGGATCAATGAAGCACTTGGTCCAGCGTTAGAAAAATATCTGCTTGAGATGAATTTGCTACTCTGTGCCTTGCTTGTTATGGACAATGTTCTTGCACTTCCTCCAAGCCTAGAAGATGGCCTCCATGAAGAATTTAATTTTGTCAAAATCCAGTTGCTGCTCTGAGGGGTTTGAGAAGTGCCTTCGAAGCCTGTAATCTATGAGATTGTGTCTCTGCCAAGATTATGAAGCTAGACGTGGATAGTAATGACATTAATGAACTAATGGAAGAGCTAAACACCGAAGAGTTTATGGAGCTGCATTCAGTGTCACAGCAAGAAGTTGTTGTGAAGATTTTGTCAGTGAAACACTTCAAATATATCTTAGAAGGCTGATCTTTTACAATGTACATTGACCACAAACCAATAAAATTTGCTTTTCAACAGGATTTGGAAAAAGCTTCGCCACAGGAAACTAGACTACTGTCATATGTTGGCCAGTTCTCAACTGATATCCAATTCATCCAAGGGGATGAAAATACCATTGCTGACACACTACCCCACATAGACAGTATTTCTGTACCATCTTCAATAGATTTGCAAACTATAACAGACTCTCAAAAAGCTGGAGACACTGAGAAGCAACCCAAACTTAAAAATCCTACAATCTTGTACCGGACAGAAATAAGAAAATATACTGTGATATTTCTACAAATTGTAATCATCCATACATACCTGCAGAATTTTTGGAAGAAAATATTTTCATGAATTCATAATTTATCTCAGCTTGGAATAAGATCCACAATAGAATTGATAACAAAATACTTAATATGGCCCAACATGAATAAAGACTGCCAACTGTACACTAAAGCATGTTCATTGTAGGTTAAAGTTCATAGAGTTCATGTATAAAGTTCATAGACTTATGCAGTCTGCCTTTGGGAGTATTCAAAATACCTCCATACAGATTCAAGAATTTAAGCATAGATTTGGGTGATCTGTTACCCATTTGCAAATGATTCAAATATCTTCTAACTGTTATCAATTTTTTCACATAATGGATTTAAGCAACACCATTAGAAGATTAATCAGCAGAATAAATCACTAAATTCTTGGTTTATAAAGGGTTTTCACTCTTTAGAATTCTGAATCGCATAGCATTTGACTAAAGTCGGTAGTTCGATAACCACCTTTTTCAAACCTTGTAAAAGTATCTTGGTTTTCATACAAATACTATAACTACATATCATCCACAGGCAAATGGCTTGATCGAGAGATAACACAAAACTTTAAAAGCAAGACTTAAATGTCACCTGCTGAAATTAAAATCATAGCTAGAAGCATTGCCTTTCTTTTAGGCATAAGATATGTCATCAAAGAAGACTTGGGTTGCTCATCCACAGAACTTGTATACGAAACTGTCCTAGCATTACCAGAAGAATTCTTTTCAACAATGCCTTATATAAAACAGTCTGAATTTTCTCAAGCTTCAGAAAATAAAGAAATATGATGCCAAGACTTACCACAGCCCATGGAAATAGAACAGCCTTTGTTTCTAAAAACTTTCCAACTGTTCTTGTGTATTCCTATACAACAGCATCAACAATTCTTCACTATAGCCTGTTTATCTTGGACCATATCTGCTAAAGCAAGAAAGGATAAGTATTGCAATATTGAAATCCCGGGAAAAGTTATAAGTGTTTCAATTAACAGACTAGAATTATGATTTCTAATTAAAGAAACAAATATTCCTTTCCAAGAATCACATTCTGAGAAAACAGAACTTGCTGAAACACCTGAACTCAAAGCTAGAAAGAAAATTCAGAGGTTCAGCATGAAAAAAGATTATCTTCCATAATTGCTGTCACTGGCAAGGGGGTATGTAATGTTACTTCAGTCACATCGATTTATTGTGCCATTGTGAAATTTTTAAGTTAAAAAGAAGTGGCAACATTAAACCACCGTCCAAAAATCAATGGCAGATTTTCTGTTTGTGAGATTCATGATGAATAAACATACTAAATTTTAATTTTATGGAGTCAGAGACATGTTATTAGCATATCCCAACATACTAGATGCTTCACATTTAAATGTTATTTCTTATAATGCAAACAGAAAAACGTAATAGTTACAGTTAAAATAAATGTCTGAAACAAATCAATGTGCATTGCAAGTAATAATGATTATATTTACAAATTAAAATTATTACCATTCAGTAATGAAGTAAAAAACTTTAGAATTTAAATATCAATGCATGTTATATAATATTACTATAATTTACATACAACCTTGTAAACTGCTTGCTATTACATGCTGCTTGAAAAACATGAAACATTTCTAAACTCTGAATGTGCATTGTAAGCATCGGATGTTTTGCATATGTGGACTAAAATAATAAATAAAATTTATAACAACATGGCTAACACTCAAGAGATTCCATTCAATAAGGTTTTGCAGTATTCTGATATAATTTATATGCATTTAAAATTTGAAATAAAACATTCTATTTCAGCATATCAAATATAATATGGTGGACCACCTTCTCTTCCATATCACAGTTGATATGATGGGCCAACGAAGGGCAACTTAACTGTGTCGTATATGATATGCTGGGAGCAAAGAGATTAACCGTTTGACTGCTAGGCGACACAGAAGCGCTGTGTTCATTTGTCTCGAAAACCGCGACACAGTTAGTTATTTTAGAATGCACTTATGTTACAAAATACGCGTAAGGTTAGACTACATACGTTCACACCCACGGAGCAACAAAGACACACTAAAACAGTGCTGCGTCGTGGTTTTCGAGACAAATGAATGCAGCACATTTGCGCCGCGTAGCAGTCAAATGGTTAATGCAGTGTTTCTGAAACCTTTAAACATTTTGACCCACAAATGTATGTACAGGTACAGGTTGAAATAAGACCAGTACCTGTCATTCAGATTAGTATATGTTAGGTAACATTGAGCCTTGCTAACTGTTAAGCTTTCATCCTAATTTTGAAGGACAACTCTCTAAAGGGGCATTCTCAGGGTCTTCCACCCCTCTTTCTCTGCTACAGCCTCTTGAGAGAATTATCAGCATGTACTATTTTGAGTGCCCCTTGCCTCACTGATACTATATGCTTGCAGCAAACATTCATACCTTCTCCAAGATTTAACCTGAGCCCATCTGTACAGCAGTCAGTGTCACTACACTGGTTGGGCAGCAGTAATAGAGTGGTAATAATTATATATGCCATAAAAATTTTTGATGATGCCATTAATAGTTTAGATATTCAACATGCAGATACTTGTAATCATGGCCAATTAGCAATTGTTTTATTATTGACATTACATTTTTGGTGCAGACGTAGATAAATTGGCACTAAGCATGTCCATCCTTAAATGAATTTTCATATTTTTAAAGCAGACAAGAAGAGCGGTATGGAGCAAGCATGCAGAAGACATAAGCAAAAAAGAATTAATTTTTAAATGATGTTGTATACAACAATTCCTTATATTGCATTTATATGCATAACATTTTTTTTTCAGAATATTAGCAAGAAGACAAACATTTATGCTTTGGTAAAAGGGAAAAAAAAAAAATGTTTTAGAATTTAATTTTAAAGACATATTTTTAATTAATGTATTCACTAAAATTATTTTCTTGTATTTATGCATTGATATGGAAGAAAAATTATAATTTTTTTGAAATCAGATATGTATAATTGATTATAATTGAATCTTTTTTGTGTTAGTTTTCTGAAAATGAATCAAACCAAGAAGAGCAAGAGGGAATTGATGATGTATCTATTCCTAAAAGTAGCAGCTTGCAAAACATAAATGAAATGAATGATGATATGTTGCTGTTAATTTTCTCATATCTAGGATTACAAGACAGAGTAAAATTAGAATGTGGTATGTAACTGTAAACTTCATCTTTTCTTGGTATATTACTTATTCATATATGTCCTTGAAAATTTAACTCCACAACAGAACTTTGAGCAGCTTTATTTTTATTACTTTGGCACTTTTTTTTTAAAACCAATAATAATTATTTTAAGTAATTCATTCAATACATGTAAAATCTGTGGGGACCAGCAAGAAAGAACGTTATGTCAAATATCAATTAATCATTACATTCGACTTTTACTAGAACTTCAAAAATATTACTTGTCTATATGCTTCTCCACTAAAACTTTAAATATACTAGAAATTATGTTGTTGTCGAAATTTATATACTTAGAAGTAATTTAAATATTTAAGCTATTAAATATATTAAAATATTTTTACATAAAAATGTTTATGTTATGCTAAATTACGAGGGCCATCCAGGAAGTAGATTACGTTTCCGTCTGTGTCCGCTAGGGGCGGGGCTAGCGCGGCCATCTTGGGGTCAGAGCGTTGCGCAGCTCAGTCTGCATCTAGCCGTGCTAGTGAGAGGTTCGTGCTGTGCTCCGTTCAGATACTGTGACGGTTTGAAATGTCTGCGTTAATTGAAAATCCCGCGAGCTGCGAGGTGCGCTCAGTAATAAGGTTTCTGACTGCAAAAAACTGTAAACCGATAGAAATCTATCGGCAGCTTCGTGAAGTGTATGGGGACAACATTATCACTGAAGGTGGAGTGCGTCAGTGGGTCATAAGATTTCAAAATGGCCGAACCAATGTTCACGACGAAGATCGAAGTGGGAGACCCAGCATAGTGACCGCCGAACTTCTCGAAAAAGTCGATGCTAAAGTCCGTGAAAATCGAAATTTCACAATAACGGAACTTTCTTTGAGTTTTCCACAAATTTCGCGAAGTTTGTTGCACGAAATCATCAGCGAAAAGCTTGGTTACCACAAGTTTTGTGCAAGATGGATTCCAAAAATCTTGACAGAGGACCACAAAAATCAGCGAATGGCTGCAGCGTTGAACTTTTTGGACGCTTACCATAAGGATGGTGACTCTTTACTCGATCGCATCGTTACTGGTGACGAAACATGGGTGAAACATGTGAACTGTGAAACGAAATTGCAATCAATGCAGTGGGGGCACACAAGTTCTCCCCAAAAACCCAAGAAATGCATGCAAACAATGTCGGCAAGGAAGATGATGGCGACTGTTTTTTGGGACAGAAAAGGTGTAATTTTGGTGGACTTCCTGGAAAGAGGCACTACAATAAACTCTCAAAGGTATTGCCAAACTCTCCAAAAACTCAGAAGAGCAATTCAAAACAAGCGCAGAGGAATGTTGAGCTCTAAGATCTTGTTGATTCACGACAACGCCCGGCCCCACACGGCAAATGTCACTCGTAAAGTTCTTGAATCTTTTAAGTGGGAGTTGTTTCCTCCTCATCCGCCGTACAGTCCCGACCTGGCACCGAGCGACTTCCACCTATTCCCAGCAATGAAGAAGTGGCTGGCTATGCAGCGTTTTGATGACGACGCACAGCTGCAAGAAGAGGTAACGAAGTGGTTGAAGGCGCAGGCGGCCGAATTTTTCGACGAAGGAATTTCCAAGCTCGTACATCGCTACGATAAATGCCTTAATTTGTATGGTGACTATGTAGAAAAGTAGTATTTGAGTGTGGCTTTCATCTGTATATAATAAAATTTGTTTCCTATACTTTGTTTATTTTTTTATTCCAAAACGTATCTACTTGGAGCCCTCGATTTCTATTATGTCCTTTTTAATGAAATCATTCCACTTATTTTGGGGACATCTTGTAAATTCTCATTTATTCCACCTTACATGATATCAATCCATTTAAAATATTTGCTTGCATTATTATCTTCTTGGAAGACATTTCAGAAGACTGCAGTTCTATTGGACCTTAGGTTGACTAGAGCAGGTTTTCTTCATTTACACCTTCACCAAAAGAATTGTTTGCATTCATTTCTTGATAATTTAACAAATTTGTTATAAATCATCCTTGAATAAAACCTAGAAAGAATCTGGATTTTCTGTTCCTGAGTCTGTTGATTAGAAATGGGCAAAACTGGTGTTTTATAGGGTCTGATCAGAAGTGTTTTCCCACTGAACTGAAGGGATTTGATTTTATGACTTACAACTCATTCCGAATGGAATATGGGATCGATTTTAAACATATTTATTTTATTTTACATTATTACCACCATTTGTTACTGCTTTTAGTGCTCAATTGGATTAGGTTTTGAACTGCCTTTTACTGTGTATTTAGTCATTTATATATTGGCATTGCCTTATTACTTGAGTAAAGGACGAAACACCTTCGTATTTATTTCTTAATTATTGTTCATTGAACGGAAGTTGGTTTGTTCCCCTTGAAAAGTCAACTAATTTCCGATCAGTGACAATGATTATTTGCTTTTAATTTAATTACTTGCTTTTAATTTATTTCTTTTTACAATTGAAATTTTGTTATTCATAATTTAATTCAAGTCCCCATTAAACATTTTTAACTATTTACATTCAAGTTACTTTAAAACAATTTTCAGAATTGAACTTACTAACTATGAATTCACTCTTTTAAGATAATTTTAGTAGAATTAATCTTAGGAGATAATATAATCAATATTTCTTTAGTAAATAAATTATTATTAACTTACTTTGCAGCAATTGTGCAAGTAGTAAAATAACTCGTTTTCGCACTATCTTTATATGTATATTCATTATATTCATTTATTTATTTTATATACATTCATTTGTGTTTTTATATTATTTCCGAAGAGACAGCTTAAGTGATTAACATAGCACATTAAAAAGCATACGTAAAGGCATATCAATATTACAAAAGGATTTAGCAGTTTCAATAATATTCTTTTTACTTGCCAAAAATACTTTCCTATGTGTACATATATTTTACATTGTTATTATAAATCAAAAGTTTTGAAATTATATGCTAAAAAACTGAAACTCATTTTATGTGAAATGAAATTATAGAAATGTCAAAAATAACAAGAGTAATATATCTATATAATAATAGATATATTACTAAGTATATATATATATACAGTACAAAGTCCGAAATCTGGACTCGTCGGGACTTCGGCAATTCCGGATTTGGGATTTTTCCGGATAATAGATCATCAGTTTAAATCTAGTAAGATGACATGTAGAAACTGTAAAATTAAAAATATGAAATAATAAAGTATTTATGATCTAAAGGGTATCAAAATTTATAAAAAAAACCTTAATATTTATTTGTTTACCTTATTAAACATTTCTTCCAATGTAAGTTGTTTTAAGTTCGTTTTTATGCTAATACTTTCTCTTTAATTCTGTAGACAGACATAATCTCTTGTTTAGTTACATTGTTGAAGTCCTGTAACTGCTGTTTCGAGAATTTTGAATAACTTGGGAATCGAAATTTTCTGGTTTTCAGTAACTTCTCTGTATTTTCTGAATCTAGAACCATACTACAAATTTCACCATTCATGATATAAAAACTTCTTTTACATAATCTTCATTTATTACTGCTTCTCCACATTTCTTTACAAAATCTGTTAATTGGAAAATTTCACAGTTGTTTTGTGATATCCAAAAACCTTTAAAATTAGCGGCTATCCTTCACTATACATATTTGGCTATGCATCATGAGCTTGGTAACTAACGACAAGTTGTTCTGTTAAATTTTATCTTGCTTCTATCGCACACCGAGACAATTAAGCCTGAATTGTATTAGTTTAGTTATTTATTATATTTATGTCTATTTCTTGCACATGTCTAAGGCTTATCAGAGTTCTGAATAAATAAATTCCTACCATATATTTAAGCCTTAGGGCTGGCACTAGATATCTTACCGCCTGATGCAGTCTCTGTGGATCCTAAATTCTGTGACTGAATGCGACCATATGATCTCTGTCGCTGGTTCTGGGTTTATGTGAATAACAAATCAGTAATTCTCAATTCAAATAGCCCTAAATGTAATCTTTGGGTCTGTGAGCATCATTAACAAAACCTATTTTTAGCATATTCAAAGAAAGTTTTGGTAAATTTTTCCTCGTCAACATTTTTTATCACATTTAACTTAAATCTGTAATCATCGCCAACTGTAACGTCAACATAAAAGGTTACCACAATCCTTTATTATTCAATTACTAGCATAAAAAATTGTTTAGGCATCGCTACATGAGTCATTACACAATTTGTCATGTTTTGATGAAATGAAAGTATAATAAATAATGATTCGCTAGGTTGGCGTCAGATCAACGATGTATCTGTGTGGAATGCTTCTGTTTGAGATGTATGCCAAGCAGATATGCAGCAATGGAGCCAAATTACTGATCGTACAAATTTAGGCTAAAATGATTGTTTCTTCAAAAACAAGGTATTTTATTTAGTGTCGAAGTGAAATTAAGAATCGGGACTCTCCAGATGGTTTATTATGTGCGGAGGGGGGAATTAAATGTACATGCATAAAGCCTATGAGAAAACATTGTTGGTGGTTTCGAGGTCTGGATTTTAGATCATTCTGGATAATGGACATCCCAATTTCAGACTTACTGTATACATAATATAATACAGTCAAAAGTCGTTAATTCGGACACCCATAAACCGGAATGATCTATAATCCGTACCTCAAAGCTACAAACTTTCTGCACATGCGTTGCGTTCAGGCGTTTACGAGTGCGCGTATGTTACGGCTGCGTACTTTATGGCTGCAAATATGTTTGTGCGCATGCGCGTGTAATGTGTAACGGAGGTAAGCTAAAATTATCTAATTCAGTTAATATTGCGGATTGCGTTGTTCCTTAATCTACGAATTGGATCCGGCTTATTATTTTTTGCAGACTGTTATAGCAATTTTATAAAAGTAAGCTTGAACTTTCGATTATGTCAAATAGAATTTCCGATATATATTTACTAATATGTAATTTGTATCTACAAAGCGAAAGTATGTTTTGAAATCCGAAATCTGTTTATCAATTTCACGCGGCGGATTGGAAGTTGATCTGTCAGCACTATCCTTATCTTCAGGACAGATGTTTTTATTTTATTTGGCTTTTAATTCCTTACTAAGTGTAGTATTTCGTTTCGATGTACTCCGTCTTTGATATGATTTAAATCAAGTTCCTCGTCATTGTAATTCGCTCTGATAGTGAAGAAAGTGACCCAGAGGTTATTAAAAATAAAAACATTTCGATTGACAAATTAGTCGGTATTCTTAACACAGCAATTATAGGACTTGAACTGCGGAACTTTGTAACTAAACAAGAAATTATGTCTGTTTAATGGAATTAAAGAGAAAGTATTATCACATGAAACGAAGCAACTTTCATTGAAAGAAATGTTTAATAAAGTAAACAAATAAATATTAAGCTTTTTCTTTTTGTAAATTTTTATACCCTTTAGATCATAATTGTTCTTTATTTCATAAATCACGGTTTCATATTTTTAATTTTGTAATTTCTGCATGCCATCTTACCAGATTTAAACTGATGATCTATAATCTGGAAAAATCGATAATCTGGAATCGCCGAAGTCCCGACGAGTCTGGATTAACGATTTTTGACTGTATATGTAAGTCCATGACTTAATCAGAATTGACTTACAAGGGGACAGCTGTAACTTCACTCACTGTAAGTGGAGGACTAGCTGTACCTTAATACATCTGTTATCTAGAACAGCGGTCATCAACCGGTGGTCCACAGAAAAATTGGGACATTATTTATATTTTTATGAACATTCAGTTTAAAAAATGATGAATAACAAAACCTATTATGGAATATGGATTATACTTTTTTTTTTTTTAAATTTTTGGCTACTACTTTTAGTGAAATTCCTTCTGAATTTAGTGACTTTTTAGCTACTTTTGGTGTATCTAGTGACATTTGAAAGTGAGAGTTGGCATCCATGGATATGCTGCTGTTTTCAATAATAAGCAGGAACTGAAATTCTCTTTTTTTTTAATTACAAACTTATGCTATTGTAGTCGTTAATAACACGGTTTTTCTCCGTGTCAGTAGGAAACTTGATGAATTTTTATGAAAACCATCTGTATTCTTGTTTATAATTGCATCACTGGAAGTTTTTGTTTTGTCTAACCGTCGATCACAGGACCATTGCTGAGTAAGCGACGATTATTATGTTTACAATAATTAAAAGCTGGTGGCATAACGCTTTCAGTTTATTGATACTGCTTTGCGTTTGCTGGCTTGTCCTTGCTTTTCGTGAAGTTCCTTTTCAGTGATATGGAAATGTGAAGCTTTCTTCCCCAGCAGCTGCCATGATGCATCGAACAAGTTCCTGAGCACTGTTAATGGGGGTTTCATGCACTAGTGTCTTCATGTACTCCAGAGAAAGTGGTCTATGCAAGCCCGAGGTGTAGTAATCCAGGCCAATGCACCGCTCCACCCCTGCCGATCCAATGTTAAGGATGCATTGTATTCAGGTGTAGACTCGCATCAAGGCTGTTAATGTATGCAAAAATTTAACATTCACAACATTTTAGCTGCATTGAACATAATGAACATGTTTTTTTCATCCTGTTCATGTCCATTCTTTCTTGTGTTTTGTGCCATCACTACCGCACCAGGAAAGCATTTCCGGCCATGCATCGCTGTGTGATTTTCCATCATCTAGGTGTATTCTATCTTTCCTGAAAGTTTGTAACTGAATTGCTGAAACACCCTGTATATATATATACACACACAAATACAGGGTGTCTCAAAAGGTCGTTTCCAAACATAACATGCTGGTCTGTCATACCATGACAAACAAGATTTACATAGGAAAATTGTGTCCAAAAATGTGAACGACATCCGCTAGAAGGCAGCGTTTGCAGGCTTATGGGAGAGTGGGAATTGTGATTACATTAGGGAAGGGCATTGTAGAAGAAGGATGAATCAGTTTACTTCGGGATGAATCAGTTCTTTATGGACATTTTGTGGAAAAGAATGTTGCCTGATCTGATAATTGATGTTCCAACAGCTACGTGCTGAAACATCTGGTCCTGCATATATTAGCAGCACTCTGTGGGAATACCTTGATAAGACATACCTGTATTGCTGGATTAGCAGAGGCGGACCAGTCACATGGCCACCGCAATCCACTGACCTGACTTCCCTGCATTTATGCCTGTGGGATACATAAAGTCTATGGTGTGTAAGATGACCATAACATCAGACGTGGATCTCGTCATCAGGATCGCGGAAGCAGTGGCACGTGTCTGTGACACACGTGCCCACTTTCAGTGTGTTTGTAAATCCATGCGTCGTCATTGTGAAGCATGCAATTTGATGAATGGAAGGAATTTTGAACATCTATGATTTAACCATGTCCTTTAATAAATGTCATTTTAATAACCTCTTTCGACATCCTTTCTTTCTTCACCTCTGTGCTAGCAAACATTGCCCTCTAGTAGTCACCGTTCACATTTTTGGACACAAGTTCCTACGTAAATCTTGTTTGTCTTGGTATGACAGTCCAGCATGTTAAGTTTGACAACAGTCTTTTGAGACGTCCTGTATATATATATATATATATATATATATATACAAGGTGAGACCGAAAAGTAAGGTGAGTCACCCCTCCTTTCAAGCAGCCCAACGACCTGACACACGTGCATTACGATCTCCGGTATGAATTGTTGAAGTTCAGGGTCATTTGCAAAGTTTCTTGTTTTGTGTTTGTTTGAGCAGTGTCTTAAACGTGAAAGGTGTTAGTGAACTACGTAATGGAGCAGAAAACGGATCTGAAATTCTGTTTTAAAATGAGTAAAACTGCTGGGGAAACCTTGGAAATGCTTCGAAATTTGTATGGCGAAGAAACTTTATCTCGCAAGACTTTCAGTGGTTCAAACTTTTCCGTGAGGAAGATGAACATCGCAGTGGAAGACTGTTGACGAGCAGAACGACGACAAATGTTGAATGAGTTAAGAAGTTATTGCTGCAAGATCACCGTTTGTCCATCCAAATAATGGCGAATGTATTGAATCTTCATAAAATCGTCTGAACAGTATTGATGCAGGTTTTGGGTAAATGGAAACTTTGTGCAGCATTTGTCTCTCATTTTTAAGCGATGAACAAAAACAGCAGCGTTTGGACTCCTGTGGTGACTTTATCAATGCAGCAGATAAAGATGTCACGTTTTTACAGTCAATCATCACAGGAGATGAAGCATGGTGTTTCGCGTATCTAAAAAAAAAAAAAAAAAAGTCACCAAAGCATGGAGTGGCACAGTCCCTCATCGCCGAAACCAAGAAAGTTTTGGTTCAAAAAATCAAAGGTTAAGACAATGTTGATTACCTTTTTCGATGCACGGGGAATTATCCGTAGAGAATATGCATCGGAAGGTCAAACAGTTAATGGTGAATTTTATTGCCATGATATGAGGTACCTCCTGACTCGCATTCATCGTGTTCGGCCCTATCTGGTCGCATCAGCAAGTGGTTTGTTTCTGTTGCATGATAATGCACACCCTCATATTGCAATGTGTGTTAGATGGTTCCTCATGCAGCAAAATGTTACAGAGTTCCAGCGAGTTACGTGCAGCAAAATGTTCCTTATTTCCCTGATCTTTTTCCATGACTGAAATTGGCACTAAAGTGACACCGATTTTCAAGCATCTCCAAACATTCAAGCTGCTGTTACCGAGGAACTTAAAGACAGTCTCAAAGGAGAATTTTTTCAAAAGTTTCCAGAACTTGTATGAATATTGTCAGAAGTGTATTGTAGACGGTGGGAACTACTTTGAAGGACAGTGATGTATATGTAAATATGTAATACAGTTATTATGACATCAGTCACCTTACTTTTCGGTCTCACCTTGTATATTATATGTTATTATATGTATGTGTGTGTGAATCATAAAACATGAAAGAAGTTTAATTGGCAGTACACCTTTAAATTTCTGATCTAAATATAAATACAACCCCCTTCACATCTATCCTGATGCAGTATTTCTGTCCATGCTGAGATCTGCATTGCTGTGAGCTTTTATCATCATTTAGAACTCAGACAAAGAATTTCTAAGTATAAAAACTTTAGCTGCCTTGTGTGCACTGTGTTTTACTGCTTACTTATGCCTGAATAAGCCATATCTCTCGCTTGGCTATATTTTTTCCATTTTCAAAACAAATGTGACTCCATAGTTTACGGTTTTGGGATGCAGATTGCCCCTTTTGTGCTGCACTTTATGATGAGATATGTTATGCAATAAGGTATGTTGACTAGAATTGACAAGTAATAAAGAGATGTTCAGATTATTGAGTGATTTCAAGATTATTCAGAAGAGTTCCAGTTATCTGCTATGCCATAGTGTCAAGCTATCTGCTGTCACCATTACTGTCACTCCAGCCATGATTGTTGATGAATGGTCCTACTAAATTCTTGCACTGTACTAATTTATTATTACATACACACTATATATGTCATTTATATGTATCTATATCATCATCTATATATCTAAATCTAGATAGATAAATATATATATATATATATACAACATTTCTTTTCCTCCTTATAAATAGGTTTGTTTTAATTTTTTTAGAAATATGTTAAAAAGATTTCCTTCCCCCTCTAGAAGCAAGGTAGAAGTTATAGATTTTTTTTATTTATTTATTTATTATTTATTTTTATTTTTATGTAGTATGTAAGAAATGGAGAAAGCTTGTTTTGGAATTATGGAGAAGTCAACATGGTTTGAAATTTTCAAAATGTCTTTTGCATCTGGGAAGGAAAACGTAAGTCATGTACTTAATGTAATTTTTAGAGGTAATTAGATAATTTTTCATTTCCTTTATTTAATATAAATCCAATATAAAAATATATTATTCTTATTAACTGTATTCATAGCAACTGTTGGATTTTTGAATGTAATTATACTATGTATTATTATTACCTTATCATTGTAGAGCCTATAAATATTGCAAGGAATGTTATGGTATAAAATAAAAAGACCATTTATTAACAGAATATAATGTAAAATAAAAGATCAATAGCACAATGTGAACTCAAAATATAAAATATCAATGGCTTCCTATACAATAGCAGAATAGCCACAGCAAAGTTGCTAATTGTAATGCAAGTAATGTTTCTCATTCAACTTTTAATTCGTTGCTGAGATAGATGAAGTTACTGTTCCCTGTCAGTACACAATCATTATCTTTGACAAAGTTTAAAAGTACTCCCAATAGCTGAGCAGTAAAGCTGCCTGAGTACCAGTAGCTTAACCTATATGTTCAAATCTTAGTGAAGTAGCTAAAGTTTTTGATGTTTTTCCCTTATGTGATGTGGATATGAACCAATTTCCATTATATCCTCAAGAAAGAATCTCTTTCCCTAGGCAGATAGTCCATCAAGTGCATTGTGATTATTTAAGTAATCAGAATTTAAAAAACTGTAGTTGTACTACATTTAAATCTTCTGACTATTGTTCGTAGTTTTGAACATTATAACATTATAGCTTTTAATGGGTCTTCAATAGCAGCTTTTTAAAAAATACTGCTAATGAGCAGCAATTTAATTGAATTCTAAGAAATAACATATTAAATGTTTTTCATGTACTGAATAATGCATAATATTACTTTTAAGTACACTTGTTAAATTCTTAGTAATTTGTGTGCAGTCAAATCAAAAATTTCTTTGTAACACAATATGATACTGCTTTCAGAGCTACAAACTCTTGTTGTGAAATCAGGAGACTCCTGATTTTTTATCATGTTTATTAATCTCCTAGTAGATATCCAAATTTGAAATTTTGATTTTTTTTTAAATGTCTTTTTTGGTACTTTTATTCTTCAGTGGCCTTGGTGACAGAAAATGGCATTGCCACAGTCTGGATTAAGAAAGTGTAATTTGTTGCCAAATGTTGTAAACATTAACGAAAATGAAACTGATTACAGTAAATGATAAATCATATATAAATAAACTTTTCCTCCTTACCAAATTTTCATCAGCATAAAATTTAAGAACATTTTTAAATTAACTGCAATTAGCCAAAAATTTAGTTTGAATTTAAACTGATGAATTAAATACTAAATTAGTATGCTTTATATCAAGAACATGTTATTGTTAGTTTAATAGCCTAAATTATTCAGGGCAAACTGATTTGTCTCAAATTTGTTAATGTTGTCCATTTAAAGTTGTGTCACTTCTCATTTCAGAAACCTTCTGGTTTTTCATCTTTCAAGGCTAGGAAAGTGCATTAATTTGTAGAAAAGTGTCAGGCTGTGATTTCCTCCATCAGCATTGCACAATGAATTAATCATTATTCTAAGTTTTCGAAAATATCTTTGACTATTGTATGAGACCTGTATTTAACCGTTTGGACTGCTACGCGGCGCAAAAGTGCTGCGTTCATTTGTCTCGAAAACCATGACGCAGTTAGTTATTTTAGAATGCACTCGTGTTACAAAGTACGCGTGAGGTCAGACTACATACGTTCACACCCATGGAGCAACAGACACACTGGATGTAAGGTTTCATGATTTTCCTCATAGTAATGTAGTATGAGCCTCTTTTTTACAGAAAGTCACAAGATCTCTTAAGACAGATAACCGAAAAATATTTTACTTTGGTAAAGGACTTGATTAATTTAAATATTCTTAAGATTGTATGTTCTGCTAAGCATTTTGCAGTGTTTGTTTAATGAATTGTATTTTCTGCTAAGTATTTTGCAGTATTTAATTTAATGAATACGATTAGTATTTTTCTTATTTTCTCATGGTTTGCTTTTGTGAATCTGGCAAAAAACATTAAGTTTAATTCATTAAGTAATTTGTTTTATTTTCATATTTCAGCACTGACAAATGGCATTTTGTTATCTTTGTTAAAAAAGTGTGATGGCAATTTGAAAAAATTAGATTTGTCAACTGCTTCTCACACATTGGATTATAAAGCTGTTGAGATAATAGGTATGATCTCTTTCTGACAATAAATTAACTAATCTTACCTTTATATAAATGATGGGGTTTATTTTTCCATCCACTTTCCTTTTGAAACATTTTTATGTGAAATTTCATATCTCATGAAAGTACATATTGTGCTTCAATTTTTGTAACAATTTGAAGTAAATATATTCTTAATTTTGATCATTTTTGCGTATACAATGATTAAAAAGATTAAATAATGCAAAACTTATTAATTTAGAAGTCAAACAACAAAAATCAGCGTTTTATTTGCAAACTTTTACAGGACTAATTTCGATGGTTTTAGGACCATCAACCTCAGCTGCCAAAGAGCAAATGAACAAGATAAAATATAGTGATAAGATAAGATAAGAATGGCTTGAAGGAGTTGAGCGACTGGTGCCATGTATTGATCAAACAAGAAAACTAAAACATAACTTACTTAAGGCTGAAGGTAAAGATGATTTGGAATTCGGGTCATTAACTAAAACAGAGAGATTTTTTTTAATGCGAAATGCCTCTAAAAAATCTAATTCACCAATGGAAAATGTTTTTTGAATAATTTTAGCTGCAGAAAAATGGAAAGTGTGATTTTCAGACCAACACTGCTGAGCAACAGAGGACTTTTGTGTTTCCTTTTTCCTAGCATATGCCTCATGTTCTTTAACATGAAGTTTTAAGCTCTCTTAGTTTGACCAATTAAACCACATTGGCAAGGAATCCTGTAAACACCCCAGGAATTCATATCTGGAATGGGGTCCTTAAATATGAAACTCAGAATTTTATTGATAAGAGAATAAACAACTCAAAAGTTAAATTTGTGTGAAATATGTGTAGTTTTATAGCTAATTAATGGAAAGAAAGGAATGACAACACAATTCTGAGAATCTCCTAAAACAAGAGTGTACTTTTTGGTGTGTTGAGACAAGAATTTTTTAACTGCTTGGTTAATAATATTGTGTGAAAAGCCCCTATCAATAGCTGTAAAGCTGTCAAATGTTGTAAAAATGTTTAACATACATTTGAGCAAATTGTGTGAAATGTAATTTGTCTCTTGTTTTCCTTAACATATTGAGAGCTGTATAAAATATTTTATTTTGTTTGTGTGATGTTAGAAGAAAAATTTCTTCATTTTCCAGCCCAGTATTGTCCTAACTTGGAATTCATTAATTTATCTGGGGTAAAAGTAACAAATGTTTCGCTACAGCAGTTGGCTATAAAATGTCCAAAGCTAAAGGTGCGTTTTTGATACATATATATTTTCACACTGATTTCAAAATGTATTGATTTTATGAAAATTATTTAATGTCTGAGATCAGACTTGTATAATTGTGCTTTCATTTGATTGAATTTTAAAATGTTTGATATTGATTTGATATGAGTGCTTGTGATATTTGATTCATATAGTTCGAAATGATTACATGTTACCATTTATACATGAAAATGAACTTTCATAAGCATCTTTTTTTTTCCCCTTTCCTCCCTTTTTCTAGCATGTTATCTTACAAAGGTGTTTTGAAGTAGGTGAAAAAGGGTCAGTATCATTTATTCTATTAAAAAATTTAAACTATTTTTTTGTATGCAATTTATATTTAAACCTGTGGATTTTTGAATGGTATGTTCTGTTGCTGGGGTTATTGCAACTACTTAAAAGTATATTAAAAAAAATATGTTATATAATTTTAGTATGTATTTCAATAATTTAAATATATTATTTCAGAATATGGTGCTTTTGCATCTTTGTAAGAAACTAGAATGCATTGACTTAACAGGAAATCCTAGAATCACAGGGCAGGTAAGTAGATGGATGCTCTTTTCTAATTATCCTTTTGGTAGATTCTAATGTTCTGCTTTCAATAATGAATAATGTCATTGTTTCCTCTTGTGGTGTGTTGGATGAATGACACAAAATGACTTCATTTGCACCGTAAAGCAGAATTCTTATACACTTTTTTTTTTATTTTTTTGTCTTCTTATAGGTACTATTTATTTATTTCAATCATGATAAGCATTTATAATAATTTATTTTAGGAAGCCTTCAACTTAACACTGCTTTTATTAGCACCATATTTCAAATAAACTGCATTTATTAGCACCATACTCTATTTAGTTTTCTCATTAACACATCGTCTACTATCTCCAAAGCTTTCTCTTCAGTTTACCATTATCAGATGTGTGTATAGAGACATATTTGATTAATATTAAATTTTCTGCACTACAGTGTGGCAAAGAGCACCTATTTCCAATCAGTCACTTATTGTGTATTCACAAGCTGTTTTTCAGTTTTGCGTATTCTCAAGGAACATCTTAATTGCCACAAATTTTGGAGTAATGGAAATTACCAAAACACGGGAGCAAGTTGTCTCAGTGTCCAAGAACGTGACATCAAAAAGCTTGTCACGAATTTAAATAATCACTTTTATAATCATGATTACTGAATGGAAAACTGAAGTGTTTATCATGGAATGCAATGGATAATGTGTTAAGCTGAAATTAATTTTGCTTTTCATATAATAAACCTTATAAATTTACTTTCTAGAGCCCTTCATAAATGTTACAGTGTAAAATTTCTGTGCTGGGTAAAACTACATTTGAATTTAAGAAATATGTTGATTCTTTTTTTTTAATTTTTTTTTTTAAATTTTTTTAACATAAGGAGCGGAGGAAAAAAAGTGACTGGAAAATCCAAATTGCAGTTTTGTAGTAACAAGACCAGTGAAATATCCAGTATCTTCAGATATGCATACTTGATTGAAAAATTCACAGAAAGCTTAAGTGAAGAGAAAATTATAAAACTCTGTTAAGGAATTCGGTATAAGTGATAAGTTGCAGGGTACCAAACATAATTTAGTTTATAAAGTGGATGACAATATTTCATATACTCAAACAGTAATATTGTAAAGAAAACAACATGAGTGGGAGTACTGAGATAAATGGAGTTGAAATCATGTTATTGGTATTAGTTATTTTACTAATAATTAAAAATTAGGAGTTCATTAATATTTTTATACAGTGAAGTATATGCCCTCCTTCTGAAAATTATCTGAGTTTTTGGATACATGTCTTATCCCAGTGTATCTTATCATTCACTTGTTTTCATTTTATTTATTTAAGTTACAAAATTCTGACAAAATACTAAAAATATTTTTGTTTGTTAAAAGAGAGATACCTGTTTCAGTATACCTGTATTGAAAAACCTTAAGTTTCTTGAAAATAAATGCTGGTCTAAAACCTGTAATTAAATTATGCCAGATTTGATATTCAAGTTGGGTATGCTTGTTAATCATCAGAGTCTTAAAATGTTGTGTGTACAATAATATTAAAATGCTGTCAACCTTTACCCAGATAAACTGTAATTGTAAAATAACTTGAAGTTTGTTTATAGAATTGTAGTATTAACTCTGAGTGTAAATTGATATTGATCATAGATATTTTATTTATATGTATATCTGTAGTAGGAACGTGAATTTAATCATATGATGGAATTTTTAGCATTTTTATATTAAAAATGTGGCCTAATTAGATGATAGCTGTTCTTCAAATTCTGTATTTATTTTTATATTATGGTGATTCAAAAAAGGTGTTAAAAATATTTACTTTTTAATATGTCATGTTTTGAAAGTATATGAAAATTTAAAATTTATTATTTTCAATGCAGTGAATTTTTAGGTCACAAAACTTACATTTAATATTTATAGATGATGTAATGTTTTTATCTTTTTCAGTGTTTTCACATGGCTGGCTCTAATCTTCAGACTTGTGTTCTAAATAAATGTTCAAAGGTACGTTTAACATTTAGTTTTAAGGTTTAAACTTTACGTTTAACATTTAGAGTTGTATATAAGAAAATATTCTGTTATATTTGTTCATGTTTTTCATGTTTTAATAATAATGTGGCGGTCTGAAGTAATTGCACATATGTTAATGAAATGAGTATTAAAGCAAAAGCCATTTCGTTTTAAAAGTATGTGAATATAGAGAATTCATTAATTTACACTTCTTTTCAGCATCATTAGTTACCAAATTATCTGTTTATAATATTTGGTAATCCATTGTTTGTAAAACTTGACTAAACCTTGACTTAAATGGACCTTGACCTATGCAAACAATTTGACATTGTTTGCAAAGCTTGATTAAAACCTCTTCAAACAGTATGTAATTCATTCCTGTGCTGTAGTAATTCATCATTAGTAAAATTCAGTAGTAGTGTTCATTGGTTTTCCAAATCAAGCTTCTTTGTGGTTATAGGATTTCCCATGCTCAACTCTTGCACCATTTCCATCATTCCTTCTATATGTAACCATCTGTGATCTAGTAAGACATTTTCACTTGGCAATTCCCCCCTGTCCTAAAACACAGAAGACTAAAATTCCTTTCTTTCACAGTCAGTGAAACTGACAGTTAATTAAAATGTTAAACACAACAATTAAAAATTTTTATTGAAAGCTTACCAGGAATGGAAAACTTTTCTAAAAATTACAGTAATCATCTGGCTTTTGAGACATTTTCATCTGCCTAGGTATCATGCATAAATGACTTAATACTGTTCTGTTAAAACCATTTCATGGACTTTCAGTGTCATTTAGGCTCATTTAGGCTTATTTCCTTTCCTTAAATAAAGTAGAACAATCAGGAACAATAACAAGAAACATTCTTCAATTTTATTACCTTTTTTTTATTTATTTTAGTGAATAATTTTCATCAGTTTCTACAGTTTTATTGTGTCTGTCGATTTTAACCTTAAGACATAAGGAATTGATACTTATTTTTCTTATGTAATTATTCCAATCAACCATTGCATTTGGATTTATATAAAACAAGTTTCAGAGCATAAAACTCAGTAGTTGATACCTTCTGACATCACAGGTAAATAAATCAAACAGCAGTAATGAAAGAAATTGCATGGTATAACAAACTCCATTTGTATTTGGATATTTTTTCTTTCCACCATAGCAAAGGATGCATAGCCATTATGGCTTCAAGTCACATTTTACTTTCACGGGTGATTTATTTGAACACTAAAATTTTATGTAAAGGGCATCTCTTTCTTGAAGAAACAGGATAGCCTATTTTTCATCTTTAGGCAAATCCTAGCTTGTGAGGCTGAGAAATCTATTACTGTAAATAAGAATCCATCCAGCTAAGAAGCCAAACCAAACTTGCAGTGTCTTACACTGAGGAAATATGGCAAAATAAAAAATAAGCACCAAATAGTATGACTTTAATGGAAAAGTAGCGATAAGTCATTAGAAATAACCATCATATATGTAGCCTGACTTGAATATTTTTTAACACTGTAATTTTTCTGCTGCAGTACTAAAATTTTTATGGTGTTACTTTGGTAGACGGTTGCACGGATTTGTGTTTTTTTTTTTTTTTTTTTTTTTTTTTTTTCCCCGAACAATACGACATAGTAAACCTATTGCTGGACAAGTTATTTATGGTAACCGATACTTTGTTGTCATTTTATTTTTAAAATAATGCGTTTTGGTATGCATAAATTCCATGGTTTAAGTATTATTTATGGCTTCTAAATATTAAAAGTCAATTTAATTTTGCATTTTTATTTGAAATAAAATTTTATTGTGTATGATATTTTGTATAATTTATGTTGTGGATGATGTGATCAATTAAGTCATTTTGCTTTAAAAGAAATTATTTTTAATATCTATAAATTTAATGTTTTAAACATTATTTATGGCTGTTAAATATTAAAATACAATTTATTTTTTGCATTTTTTTAAAATGATTTTATTATGTATGATTATTTAAATAAATTTAATTCTAGGCGTGATGTAATCAGCTCCCTGATTGGTTACAGAATATTTGTGCATTAATGAGCTGTAATCAGCTCCCTGATTGGTTACTGAATATTTGTGCATTATCGCACCATTTTAAAATTTTCTTATTCATCTCTTTAAATTCCTTAGATTTCATAGGAAACGGATGTATCCCTTTCAAAGATTAATGTTTTTATTGGTAAGTACCAAGAATTATTGATATTGGAATCAAAAAATTGTCCTTTGTGACCTTATTTTGGCCCACCTGGCTTTCCTAATCAAAGATATATTTAATAAATTGTTACAAGGGTCAGAGGAAATTTATTTTAAATTTTTGGAGGAAACCTCGCTAATTGCTTCTTCATTGAATTGTGAAAAATGTGGATCACAGATGAAGATCGTTAGAAAAGCTGATTCTGAGGATGGCCGTATATGGTATTGTGGTCACGGTGGAAGAAATAACTGCTGTAACAGTAAAAAAAGTACAGTACAAAGTCCATAATCTGGATTGTTGGGACTTCGGCGATTCCGGATTAAAGGTTTTTCCGGATTATAGATCATCAATTTAAATCTGGTAAGATGGCATGCAGAAATTATACAATTGAAAATATGAAACCATAATTTATGAAATAAAGAGCAATTATGATCTAAAGGGTATCAAAATTTACAAAAAAAATAGCTTAATATTTATTTGTTTACTTTATTAAACATTTCTTTCAATGTAAGTTGTTTAAGTTGCTTCGTTTTTTGTGCTAAATGCGCATGTGTAAACGTTAAACGTGCATGCATAACATTAAATGCGCATGCGTAAGTTTGTGGCTGTGAGGACCGGATTATAGATCATTCCGGATAGTTGATGACCAGATTACAGACTTTGTACTGTATTAGGCATTCCTCCTTTTTTACCGGCAATAAACTAATTGCTGTCATTTTAGCTCTAGTGTACAAAGCATTCGTATTTACTTATTTTAAAGTATTTGAATTTAAGTAAAATTTTAATTCTTTTAAACGTTGGTATGATGGTTTTTAATTCGATATTCAATTTACGTAATATCTGAATCCAATTAAAAGTTAGCTCAATGTTTTCATAGCGGTGTTGTTATTCTATTTCTTTACTATATGAAAGTAATAATTTAACCTTACTTAAGTATTTTATACTCATAGTAAATGTATTTATTTACATTTGCCTTCCATCTTAAAAAACAACGTTTTCAACAAAAAATTAATCCATTATATTTAACAATATTTATTTTTTAAAGTTTCGAATACTTTACTATGCACAAAATATGTAAAAACAGCATTTTTCAAGAAGGCTGACGATTTTAAAAACCACGATTGTAAACGCCAACAATTGTACCAAAGTAAATCGCCACAATCCGTGCAACCGTCTACCAAAGTAGCACCATTTTTGCATTATGATAGTTGAAAATAAATTTATTTGGCTTAATGAAAAAAAAAAAAAAATATATGCCCTCAGTTTAAAATATTCTAAATAATACTTACATTGAAAACTAGTAAAATTGCTAATTTGTAAAATGAAAACAGCCCATTTCCAGCACAGCTATTCATAAAATTATAAAGCCAGTTCCAAAAGTATTTTTATAATTAATAATCATAATCTTAGAGAATGATTTTTAGTTACACATAATTATGAAGTAGTCCATGTGAAAATAAAAAAATTCATGTGCCACTCATCACATAAGTTACAATTTAGAAACTTGTGCCAGACATTCCAGCCATTAAGAGATGCGAGATCACAAGCTGTGACTCTGTAGAAGTAACAGTTTTTCTAATAATATCTAGTTGACATTACAAAAGTCTCTCCATTTGTATGCTGTAATTATGAAGAGAATCGCAAATTAATTGTTTTTCTGTATGCTGTAAAACTTATTTAGTTATTTTCCTAGTATTCTTTTCCCATGATAAAGTAGCATAAGATTCTTCATGAATTTAAATTTTCTATAAAGCTGTATGATTAGATTAAGATTTAAGATGACTGCCATGTTGTATTCAGGTATTTATGCATTTCTGTTTAAACTGTAAGTTGTTTTTAAAGTAATAATAATTTTTTGATCTGCAACATCTTAATGAAATTGCAATGAATTTATTTAAATGGTTAAGATTGACAATGCTGAATTTGTACTGGGTATATTTTAGCGCTTCTTCATTGATATATCTGACACAAAATGCCTGATAAGTGTAATTGTTACTGGTATTTTTATCTTTAATTCTTTTCTTTTTAGTTTAGTCCTATGGGATTTACAAAACTTGCAACGAGGTGTCGCCAGTTAACAGCTTTATATTTAAATGATTGTTTTCAGCTCTCAGATCGTGCACTTGAATTATTATGCCAGGTATTTTTTTTTTTTTCCCTACCAAAATAAATTTAATAAAATAATAATATTTTGTAAGTTGTAATGTGAAATTTTTGAGAAATTTACCATTTGAGGACTACAAAATAGTATTCAAGAGAGTACACAATGGTTATTTGAATCATGTACAAAATATTGTGTAAGTTTTAGTAAAACTACAGTTTGTCTAAAAATGATACAGTGGAAACGCAGGTCATGAATGGCTGACTTCACAAGAATTTAGTTCATGACCAAATTATTTGAACAAAAAATGCCTTGAATAGCGAACAGTGTCTCAATTTACAAACGTTCAAGCCATCAAAATATGATTTTCAAAAATATTTTGATGTAAATTATGCTATATAATTAACACTCAGAAACTTTTAAAAACATTATTTTAATATTTTCTATTGCTTAACTCTCATTAATAAAGCCTGGCAGCAAGTTATCCCATTAATGGACCATGAATTCTGTGTGGAGGTTATGACCAGATTGGATTGGTGGCAGGGTGTTTGAATACGTTGACACTTAGGACTTTTTTGTTATTTATGGCATTGTATCTCTTGGCAAGACCATGGGTTGGGAAGTTAACAATGAAGACATGAAGAAGTTACTAGGAAGACCTAAAAATAAACTCAATGAGAAATCTACAACTTTAGAAGCAGCTACAAATGTGAATTTGGAAAAAATATCTTCAGAAGAAGAGGAAGAAAGAAAAATTACCCTAGTTACTTGCTCTGTGAAATTTGGTCAGTATAGGTTTATGCAAAAATAATATATTTATGCATTGATAAAGTGGTAGCAAGCTCCAGCATACGATTTTCAGTGGCAATTCTATGTCATTATTTAGAAAAAATTTAAAACATGGGTAATAACCAATCACATTGGGTAAATTTTAAGTTATTGTGTTTGTTTATTTATTTATTTTATTTATTTATTTTTTTATATTTAATGATTTCCATTGGTTTGGGTTTATGAACATATGCATAATGTACTGTTCTAAAATTTAAATAAACCTTCACCTGTAGTCCTAGAATGAGTTAATATATATATTCAGTCTATTCCCTATGAGAATAATTGTTTTGGTTTAAGATCATTTTGTTTCACAAATGTCTTACAGGAGTAAATTAAATTTGTGAACCAAGGTTTCACAGTACTATTTCATAATATTACATAAATTGTACAAGTAATCTATTATTGATATCTTTATTGCACCATAAAATTTGTCTGGAGTAAATTTGCAATTAATTAGATTAAATTTTTACTTATGTGAACTTAAGACATGTAAACTCAGTTTTGAATTCTGCATTTCACCTGTGTTAGAGAAACTTTTCCCTTAAATTTGATTTAATTTTAGGTGTAATCGCCATATTGTTATCTTAAATATTTTGTATTATAAGATAATTAAACCCACTAGAGCATAATGTATCATGCAGCATGAGTGAGCTACATTCCGAGGATTATTAATCTATCTAACAGTTATGTTTTAACCATGTATTAAACCTTTTGTTTTTCCTCTTCAAGATGTGTTGGAATGCTCATGTCTTTGTTAAAGAAATAGTGAATTAATTTGAAATAAATGTTTTTAGTTTAAAACCAAATATATGTAAACATTACTTTATTGGGTGCTTATTTCATGTGGTATAATTTGGGGGGATTGCACAGGAAAGCATGCAAAAAACTGATAATAAGGCAAAATATTGTTGAAGCGGAAAGTAAATCATTTAAGTTCAAAAGATAAAATTGTAAGAATTCTTTATATTGTATCATTATCCATTCTATAACTCAAAAAATGGAATGTTTATACCAGCTGGTGACATTAATGTGATATAAGTACTTTAAAGAGTATTTATTTTTATTTCAAGGCAAATTAGCATTGTATAACAAGAAATGTTTGAAGAAATTAACTTTCATAGCAGTTTCTTGCATTTCTGAGGAAAAGCTATTTGAATAGCAATTTCTTAGTGCATGATGTTGCAGAGACGTTGTATTGTGACTTTAAGATACCAAGCAAGTTTGTAAAAGTAATGACCAGTCATAAAAGTAAAATACTTTAATGTAGAGTGGTAAAAAGTAAAATTGACATACATTTTTCATTGTTGTAAAAGTAAAATGCTCTAATGAAGTATCAAAAAAAAAAAAAAAAAAATTAAGCATACTTGATTTGCAGATTTCATAAGACTTATTAAAAGTGATTGTAGGAAATATGTACTAAAGCTATAAGAATATTGAAAATTAATGAGCACAATGATTGTATTAAAGTATTATTGAAAATTTTTTTGCCAAATAAATATTACAGCACATGCTAGAATTATGCAATGCAAGCAGAAAAAACTGCATTTAAATAAAAATAAATACTCTTATTTAGTTCTGCTGATAAGAAATAACCTTGATTGAAGGAGATCCTTCAATCAAGGTTATTTCTTATCAGCAGAACTAAATAACTGGGGGGGGATGCGTTCCAATCTGAGAAAACCCAGAATTTTTCAGATGACACTATACAAGTTATGCAAGTTACGACTTTGTGTAAGTTTTGCATATAAAAGACTTAAAGTGCTTATCATAAGTCTTCACATAAAATCACACGCACACACTTTTCTTGATACCAGGATCCCATAAAATATTTCACTGCCTATTCTTTCTTAAAGAAAAGTTTCAAATTTTAATTTTTTTTTTTTTTTTTTTTTTTTTTTTTAATGCAAGGAAAAAACAGAGCAGTTGACTTGTATTGTTTGCTTAGAAAAACTAAACCAGCCTTTTGAGACCTTAATGGATTTGCATAAAACTATAGTGAAGATCTTATGTTTTGATGCTATGTATATCCATTATTAGTGTTAAATCACACTGTTTGATGACAGTGTCTTCTGTGTGCTCACTTAATGTTTTGGAAAGGTAGAATTTTAGAAATTCTAAACCACTTACTTGAGCTTTCTGGCTAGTTGAATGTTGAATCTTTTACTGTACTTCTAAAGCAAGTTTGTTAAAGTAATGACCGATTATAAAAGTAAAATGCTTTAATGTAGAGTGGAAAAAAAAGGAAAATTGATATAAATATTTCATTGTCATAAAAGTAAAATGCTTTAATGAAGCATCAAGAAATATAACAAATTGAACACACTTGTTTTGCAGATTTCGTAAGATTCCTTAAAAGTGATTGTAGCAAATACTACAACTATAAGAATGTTGAAAATTAATGAGTGCAGTGTGTTTGTATTAAAGTATTAAAAATAAATATTAAAATATTTAGAATGTAATAATATAGTTAGGTTTTCATTTTGTTAATAACATCCTTAAATTGTAAAGTAACTGTTGCTTTATTTTTTATTTTCAAGTTACCCAATATAATTAAGAGTGAACATTCTCATGCAGTAAACAATACTGATTCAGTATTACCAAGTTGTGTATTCTTGAGTTAGGTCATTTGGCTTATGTACATGGTTGATTTACAGAAATAGGTGCTAAAAGTGTACTTTTTCAAGAAATAGTTTTCAAAACAAGACTAAGCTTATAAATATAAATACGTATTCTGAGTTACTAATGCAGAGAAACATAAAATGTCTGCTAATAGTATGCTGAAAAGTCCATAGCTACCATTGTTTTCTCCATAATTGCCACATTAATAGTGTCAAGTACAAATGTGGCATGCCTTTTTTTTATTTTCAAAACTAAACCCAATAGTTATTTTCAGATTGTTTTGATTTAGTATTATATCCTTTTATTTAAGTATTGAAATATTTGAATTCATACGCAATTCAATATATGTAAGTTTCTGTGTTTGTCATTTGTATGCAATTAACTATTCCATGATATCATTTTCAATTTACTCATGCAATATTTTTATTATTTATAGAGTTTAAGAAATATGAAAATACTATATGTTGGAGGAATATTTACAGATTGTAAGTGAATTATTTAAATGTATAAAAATGCATTGAATATTCTTGTATATTGTTTTTAAAGAGTGGACATTTGTTGTTTTTTATACTTAAAAAATTAATTAGTGAAATTAGTAGAAATAGTATTATCATATGCTTAGTAGAAATAGTATTATCATATGCCTAGTAGAAATAGTATTATCATATCTATTAGTAGAAATAGTATTATCATATTAATGATTAGAAAGTGATTTATGAATAGTCTATCTGCATAACTTGTCTTTTATGATTAAGAAAAATAATTGTCTTAGAGAAGTGTAGAGAGATATTTATTTCTTGTATCTGTTTTTATAACTGCTTTTTTAATGTAATAAGTAATTGATTTTATTGTTTCTTTTATTATATTGTATTAAAAGAATTTTAGTAACTAAGTGTCAATAACTAAGTAGTTTACTTTAAAATAAAGTATATGTGACTGAGTAGTTGACTCAGTATAATTTAGTTTTATATATTGAATTTTATTTTACTAACACAAAAAATTTTAATTATTTAAATATTTTAGCTTTATTTTATATTATGTACCTATGGGAATTATGTCCATGCTGACTGAAAACTGCTGTTTAGTGTCAATGTTTGCCTTGCTTTTATTGAATAAATTATTGTACTACCACTTTGTAAAATAGAACTTTAAAACTAGAATAAAAAATGTATGAAATATGGGAAGTGAATTTATAATCCCTCTTTTTGTTCTAGTTTTGTTTCTAGTTTATATTTTACTTAGTTGGGGGGAGGGATTCTTTTTAAACTGGTCAGTATGATCTTATTATACAATTGTCAGTCAGAATAAAGTCCAACTAACTTTTAGCTGTATATATATGATTACTTATTGCATTAATTTATAGCATACATCAAGCATGGTTGACATGCAACTTACAAGTCACATATGGATCTTTGCTTTCTTAAATACAGTCCACTTTGTAATAAGTAATATTTTTATCTTAGAAACACAGCTAAAATTAAAGAAAATATCTCTGCACTGAAACACTTATTTATATGAATCAATAATTTTTTTAAAACAATATTATATGGGTGATAATTTTAGAATGCTCAGTGCATTAAGTCATCGAAGTAATAAATAAAATGACAAAACATTCCACTTCTGAATTTACTACCATGAGTAAATTCAGAAGTGGAATGTGTACAAAATCACATCACTTTTTTTTTTTTTTTTTTTTTTTTTTTTTTTTTGATACACATTTTTAAGCTTATTTCGTATCCTTTGAAAATTCATTTAAAATTCTAGATCTTACTTACTGTGAAAGTTAATTTTAAAAATGTATCTTCTATCAAGATAGCATAAAAGATATATACATTGGAAATACATTCTAACAAAGGCATACCTTAATAATATTATTGATATTTATTGTTACATTTTGCAATAGGAGAAGCTGAGTACATCTGCAATCAAGATTTTGCTATGTTATGAATTAATTAAATACTTTAGGATTAGGTGTGTCTGTATATATTGATTACCATGTAGTTCTGTATGAAAAACTAAATAATTAGTTGTTATAAAAAAGCCTTAGTAAGGTTGCAGCCTTTTAAACATAATTTTAGTAATTAATTTGCAGTTTCTCTTCACTGTGCACTCTCCATTCCTCTTTAATTTTTATTCTCTTCTTAAGATGTATATAGATCAAAGAAAAATCTCTGATTCTATCTTTCAAAATACAAAATAACTCCTTATTTGAATTAAATGCTTTTTTTATATTGTTCTAGACCATAACATCTTTCTTCAAATTGTGGTTAGTCATTTTTTAGATCATTTGTGGGGTATAAACAGAAAAATATGGGGGAATGAGTGTGTAAAAAACTAACATAATGAAGTCCAAATATGTCTAAAAAACCATTGAACTGCGCCTTTAGGTTTAGTTTCAATAATTACCTCGTACAATTCATTCTGTGTACGTGTAGTAGATGACATTGCTTCAGTTGATCGCTGGGATTTTTTTTTTTTTTTTTTTTTTGTTTGATACACATTTTTCAGCTTATTTCATATCCTTTGAAAATTCATTTAAAATTCTAGAACTAAAAGATGAATAAAGATCATGCTGACAAGTGCTAAGAATAAGGAATTTGTTTTAACAATAAAATAAAAATTTGCATTAATCGAAATACATGAATTAATTGAATATGAGGAATGGACAATGAAATTGGGGCACAATATGACATTGCTTCAGTTGATCGCTGGGATTTTTTTTTTTTTTTTTTTTTGTTTGATACACATTTTTCAGCTTATTTCATATCCTTTGAAAATTCATTTAAAATTCTAGAACTAAAAGATGAATAAAGATCATGCTGACAAGTGCTAAGAATAAGGAATTTGAATAATTCGAGACAGTAGTGACTTCTGTTGAAATTGTTTGTATTTTGTTGACCAAAGGACATTCAAATACAGTGGTAAAATACCATTTTGACAAATGCACAGTAAAATTCAACAGATAGTTATACATTCTCTAAAAAAAAATAAAATTACTGATTTTGTAAAGAAATAAACACACACACAATACATGAAAATAGGTAGTTTGGATTTTCCACTTTTTTCCTTAATCGGTGACTCTCTTCTCCAGCACTAGCCCAGATAGTTGAAAGGACTTTATTTTCAATGCAAAGTAAAAATTTCAATTTGTATGGCATAGAAAATACTTCTTTTAGTATAGGGCAGCAGTAGCAAGAATTATTTATTTATGTTTATATAAACAGCTGAGGTTGTTGAATATTTCTGAATTCTAAGTTATTGGTTCTTATTGCTGTAAAGTTTGATCACTCTTTGCGTCTATGAGTATGCATATTGTATTCATCTATGTGCTCAGAAAAAGTGTTATAGTTAGAGAAGTTTTAGACTTGGATTTTTAAAATAATTTATTTGAAAGTACAAAAGACTTTTTTATTTATTTTATTATTCTTTGTAAGTTATATTCAAAAGTAAGAATTTCTTTCACTAGAATTTCCTATTTCCTAGGATTTAATTATATGTGTATGTAAAAAAGTATTATATTCCCTTCAGTATTTAACTGTAAACTTTAAAAATGTAAAGGAAATTTACTTACTGTCAAAGATTGTGATTTTGTTCATAAAATATTATCTGTATGATTGATTTGATTTATAAGCTATTATCTGTATGTAATTCCTTATGTAGTAGTTTCAGTATTAACAAATTAACAATTTCATTTCACTGCTATTTGAATTCACTAATAATTGTTCATGTTCTTTCATATTTAGATTTTGTTCTTACAGGGTAAAAATGATAAGTTTTTATGACACAAAGTTAGAAACTTTTTTTTTTTTTTTTTTCTCCTTATAGTAACATCAAGTGGCTTGCATCATATTGGGCGTTTATCTAGTCTTGTAAGTGTTCTGCTTTCTTCTTTTTTATTAAGTGACACATATGTAAAATTTATTTATTTTCTTGGTGTTTTTATTTTATAGTACAAAATTTTCCTCCTCTCAATGTAAAAGAATTTTGCTTCAACATAACTAATTCTATCTAAATTGCTCAGATTTTCATGTGTCAGGTGTTACTAGCAGCTTGGCTTAATTTGTATATTATTCCATTTTGTTTCAATACAATAAGTAATATGTAGAGACAACAAAATTAAATCTAGAATACTATTAATATCTTTCAATACAGAACTCAGAATATTCGTATTTTATTAAAATTCTTCTGTGACTGATGGAACATAATGCATATGTTGCCCATGATCTGCATTTTCATATTCATGGGCATTTTTCATCACCTTTAATATTTGCTGTGTAGTTTCAAATAGCCAGTTTATATATTGCATAATTGTGCGTGAAGAGCATTTTGTGTGTGTTTTTATGTTTTTCATATTGTTAGTAGCATTATTATCAAGCATTATGAAAAAAGTACATATTAATTTTATAATATAATTCATTTCAGCACTCATTTTTGGTACTAAATATTCATAACAATATGTAGCATAATATGCACATATTCAGTTGTATTAGTATTGGAATCATGATTCAGTATTGAAGAAAATATATGTTAAAAATCTGTAAAATTTGACTAAATCTCAAATAATATTAAACATAAAACATTTTCTATGCAACTTTTATTCACGAATATTATAAGCTAACTCGGCTCCATATGAACAAATCACAACATCATAGTTTGAACATAATCATAAAATATTTCTGCCATCTTTTGGGGAACTTAGAATACAAAGCCATATATTTGGATTTCAGAATTATCTTTGAAAAAAACACTTGTTAATGATGCTTATAAAGTGGTAAACTGAAATCTCAAAAATCAGATTTCAGTCCCCCCCACCCCTTAATCAAAAAGACCTGATTAGGAAAACAGACGGTGATTTAAATTTAATTTTGTGCTTTTATATGTAGTTTTAATTTTTTTTTAATTAAGTAAGAAAATGTTCAAAGTTTTTTCTCCATTATACTGAGATTTTCTTCTTTGAATATAAATTTGACTGTTATTTCTGTCTAATCTTGGATTTTTTTTCTTTCCTCACTCTTGAATATTCATTCAAAATTTAACTTTGGCGAAACTAACTTAAATTTCATTATAGGAAGATCTGTGCTTGGCTCACAATCAAAATATTGATGATGATGTCATATATGCAATTAGTAGAGGTTGTAAAAAGCTCAGGTATCGTCACAACTATCTACTACATGAAAAAAAAAAAAAAAAAAAGATGTTACTCCAAATTTTTACTATGTAGAAACTTATTTCTCTTGTTTTACATATGTTATATTTCAGGTATTTGGATCTAAGTGGTTGCACTGAAATTAGTGATTATTCTCTAACTTCTTTATCCAGCTGCTATAATTTACGGACACTGCACATCAATTATTTAGACAGGGTATTACATATATTTATATTCAGTATTTAAACTTTTGTGATAAAGATATGCAGAAAGTTAATATTAGAATATTGTTATTATAGTTAGTTATTGTGATAGTTTTGATTTAAATATTATGCCTTAATTACAGAAAGTACTTGAAATTTTGCTTTAGAAATTTGACTTTTTTTGAGCTATAAATTTTTATTATTGAAGCTTGTTCTTATAAACATTTAATAGGGATAATTATAATATAATTCATTCTTAAATCAAAGATCCTTGTATCAAGTATTGCATCTACATTAGTTTGCTAATTGGGACAAACTGCACAAAATTTGCATGCCTTCATGAAAGATTTTTTAAGAAGGCTTAAACTCATGTTACGTATAAGGCATTTAACTAGATCCAAAACAACTTGGGCTTGGATAAACTACCATGGTCATTCAGCATTGGTGGACCATAAATTTTAGGGCTATGTAATTCGAAATTTTTAAAAGTATGATCAGTTAATATAATTAAAAAATAATTACTGGATTTTAATTCTTTTAGAATTACATTAGATATTTAAGTCTTATTATTATTATTTACGTTGGTTTATATATAAGGAAAACTTGTTATTCCCTCTTTTGTTTTGAAAAGGGCAAAGTGTTTAATATTTATTTGAATGCAAAGAATATTCAAAGCCATGTATGTTTCCAACATTTGTAATTTAACTGTTAAAAGCAAAGTATGTAAAATTATTTAAAAACTTTATTGTAATCTATTGCTTCTGATTTGTGCAGATAACTGATGAAGGACTCTCATCCATTTCTAGACAAGGTACATTAGAAACAGTTTATCTTCGAGGTTGCCCTAATATTGGAGATCAAGGTATTTCTTGTATATTATAAATTGCTCATTTTCCCCTGCAAAATATTTTTAATATTAACTAATTATATAGCTGAACACATCTTTCAAAATCTTGATTCCAAATATTGTTTTTTTAATTAAAATTAAAGTAGATGAATTTTTAAACTACAATTTAAATTTATCATTTAAATCCCACTTTATTTAATTTTATATTTTAAAATTATTAGTACTGAAATATGGAAAACATATGTTAAAAACATTTCATGAAAAAATTATTAATTGCAACTAAATCTCAGATGTTACACTGTTAAGGATTTTGATGTCCTTTCAGATCAGCATTATTTATCATAAAACCATTTTTATTTTTATGTTTAATATAATTGAAGATTACCTTAAAGTCTTACTAACTGATGATTGCTTACTTTGAATTCACATTAAGTAGATTTTCCTAGTAAACTGAGGAAACGCTAAAATGCTAAGTACAGCTTTGCTAAGATTTTGGATGCTTTTTCTAATGACTGGGGATGGTTGCAGCTGAATTACAAATATTTGAAGCAATTGTTGGAGTCTTACCAATCATACTTCAATAGTACTTTGATAGACAAGCCTTATATCCATGATGTATCACCATTTGACTACTGGCAAATTGAGAAGCCAGAAGAATGGGGCATCCACAAGTATGCTAGAATGGGACTGTCTCTTCTTGAAAAGAATGGTGACCATTGAAAGGATATGAGCATTAAATTGAATCGCATTCCAAATTAAAGTTGATGTCTGTGGGGCTTCCCCCCCCCATTTCTTCGGTGCTTCGAGTTCTCTTCTTTGCGCATGTGCGATGAGAATATCATCTCTGCACAACTGCAAAAGAGAACTTTTGCCTTCTGTTTTTACAAGTTTATGTACGTATTTTTCTCATCGCTGAGTTTCATGTTATTTTATGGCTGTGTACATGTTTTGATTCATTAAAAGAATTTATTTTTCTAAATTGGGTGTCTAGCCATTAATCAGACCCCAAATTTCTTTCAAACCACAATAAATACACTGTATAGCATTAAATGTTATACATACAGGTTACATTATTTGTACAGTAATGTAGGATTTTGTAATTGTCAGTCAGTGTGTGTGTCAGTCAACATGTGTATACTTCTGGTATCAAGTAAAGGAAGTATTGTGATTGTGAAAAATATCAGATATCGTAATTTCAATGAAAATATCCATTTTGACTACTCTCAAATCAATTTGAATGATGTTTGTTCATGACATCTCTATGTACAGACAGAATAAAGGACTCTTTTTCCTAAAAGGGATTGTAAAGTGGATTATTTTTTCTTGATGTCTAAACATACATATGTATGTATGTATCTTGCATAACTCAAAAACGAGTAGCCTCAGAACGTTGAAATTTTGTATATTGGATATATATATATATTTGCATACCCACTGTGTTAACTGGCTCAATGAGTTGTTTTTTTTTTATACTTATATGTTGGTAAACTGTGCATTTTTTGCTTTAAAAGTGATTGACTATTGAAAGAAAGATGTGTGACCTTTTTCCTTCCTTTCCAAAAAAACTGCATGTTGTTCGTTTTCAACCAATTAGCTATCAGCTTTGAATATCAGCTTGTTTGTAATGGGGAGCCAGTTTTCCCTGTGTTAACCCCAAAGTGATCTATGTTGATTGGCTGTTGTGACAAAACAGAAAAATTGTTCCGAACAGTTGTTCTTCCGAAACAAACCGACATGTGATAGCAGCCTTGGTGGTACTAAGTGTAATAAAGCAGCCATTTATTTACATTTGAAACTTAATAGAATAGTGAATTTAGTCAGTTTGTGTACCAACTTCAGTGTCTTTTCGGCAAGTTCCCACTTGCCAAAAGTAAACTTTCAGTTTTGTGCACTGAAAAATGTGTCTTCTTGCCAGCTGGCCGAATTGTTTATTTTTGCAGAGAAACTTTAATTTTAATTGTAAAAATTGTTTTTTTTAGCTGTATTTTATGTTTTATGTTTTTCTTTCTTTTACAATTTTTATTGAAGATGTTTTGAGTTTTTATGTATTTTTGCCTTGCCATGAAGTGAATTAATTGAATGAGAAATACAATGAAACTTGAGGAACTAAATCACCTGAGCCAGAAAATGTATAATGGGTGATTGCTATTGTGTGACCTAGTCAAATGAATTGCATGTTTAGTTGTTTAGAGCAGATGGACTCATTTGTTTGTGAGAAGTTTGTGTGACTCTGTGAATCTGCTTGTTAGCAAGATTTGCAATCTGATGGTGGCTGGTACACCATTGCAGTGATTCCCAAAATATCATCTACTAGTACTGCATTGAGTAATTGTATATGTAATGCTGCATCAGCAGGCAGCTAGCTTCATTTTTCTAATGTTTGTCTCTTTAAAGGAAGAAATAACTATTTTTGAAATTATTCACTTTGTGTGTTACGCTTTTGTTGCAAGCAATCTATAAATTCTGTGCTTGTTTTTCAGTTTATTTTGAGTCCAAAAGGGCTTTGTCCCTGAAGGATTATTGTTTTTATTTTGTGATTTTGCAATGAATCACTGTAAATGGCAAATCACTTTTCAAACTGTTGCCACCTAATGTTAGAGTCCTGCATTATATTTGAAGAAATTAAATAATGAAAAATCTGCATAAATGTATGTATATTTCTTATGTTGTGATAAAACAACGGTACATAGAGCCATTGAATTTTGAATGACATAATCTTCCTACGAATATGGGCATGTAGAACCACCAAATTTGAAATTTGGAATTTCTTTTATTATTGATTTCATAATTCAATCATAATTTGATAATAAAATTCGTTAAAGTTTTACAAAAGTAAAACTTAAATGAATTTTTGAGTAACAAACTGAACGATTTAAAAACGAGCAATGGCAATTCTCTGCCCGGGGGGGGGGCATTTTTATCTTCAGCACGTGGAACTGTGTCTCAGAAATTCTAAAGATATGTTCATTTTAAAATTATTTTGCGACATTGCTATTGAACTGAATTTTATGGTTTGAGTACAAAAGACATGATGCATTCAAAAGTCTTTAATCCAGAATGATCTATAATCCAGACCTCAAAGCTACAAACTTTCTGCGCATGCGTTAACGTATGTCCATAATACCTTTACTCATGTGCATTTATTGTATAACGGATGGTATAACCTAAGCTAAAATTATCTATTTTAGTTAATGTTGCAGATTGCGTTGTTCCTTAATCTTCTAATTGGATCCGGCTTATTATTTTTTGCAGACTGTTAGAGCAATTTTATAAAAGTAAGCTTGAACTTTTGATTATGTCAAAAAGAATTTTCGATTCTGGAGCTGCCAAAGGATCTACAAAGCGAAAGCATGTTTCGATGTCCATCAAACAAAATGTGGAATTGCTGCAAAAAATAGATAAAGGAATATCCTTTGTTTCTCTAACCATTCCGAAATCTGTTTATCAATTTCATACTGCTCTGTGGGGGGGGGACGCGGCGCGAAATGAACTGGAAGTTGATCTGTCAGCACTATCCTTATCTTCAGGGCAGATGTTTTTATTTTATTCGGCTTATAATTCCTTACTAAATGTAGTATTTCATCTCGATGTACTCCGTCTTTGATACGATTTAAATCAAATTCCTCATTATTATAAATATCATGAATACACATCAAATAGTTTTCTGGTTGCAATTTTCTAATTTCGACTATGTGTAATGTATGCTTTATGCGTGCGCGCGTTGAAAGAAATGTTTAATAAAGTAAGCAAATAAATATTAAGTTTTTTTTTTTTTTGTAAATTTTGATACCCTTTAGATCATAATTGCTCTTTATTTCATAAATTACGGTTTCATATTTTTAATTTTATAATTTCTGCATGCCATCTTACCAGATTTAAACTGATGATCTATAATCAAGAAAAACTGATAATCTGGAATCGCCGAAGTCTCGACGAGTTCAGATTAAAGACTTTTGACTGTATATAATAAATAAAGGTAATACACAAAATGTTAAAAAAATGCCCCTTTGGACGTAATTTAAAATCTGAAACCTTTCAGTTTATATATATATATAATTTCAGTCTTTTATAGTTTGCTTAAGAAATGTCTTAAATTACATTTTAGCTCTTTTTTTTTTTTTTTTTTTTTTTTTTTTTTTTTTTATGCTTTTCACTTGGAGCAGATGTTCAATTATCATTTCAACTTTCATTGTGTGAAACTAAATCATCCTGATGATGTTATTAATAATAAAGGTTCATTTTTATTTTAGGTTTGTTAACTTTAGTACTTCTTTGCCCATACCTCCAACTACTTGATGTCAGTGGCTGTCAACATGTTACCAATGTTACAGTGACTGCTTGTCTAGACTCTGTTCAGGCCCGTTCTTCCGGGAAAAAGTTACTGCTAGTAACTGGAGGTGAAAACAATATGCTTTTTCATTTATAACATCCATTTTCCAGTAAAAGCTGCATATTCTTGACTAAGCATTTATCTTATTTTGCATTTTAAAGTATTTTATATATCTTTTGTCTCTTGTTTTCATAGAGATTTCTAGATTTACATCATATTTTAGCTCATCTCTGTTTTAACTGTGCTGTAAGAGACATTGGGTTTTTTTGATGCAGGAGGCATGAAAAATGAGCAGTGCTTTCTCCGGGATTCAAACACTGGACCTCTTGAATATGCGCCGAGTGTGCTACCATTACACCATGAAGGCATGCAGAAAGGAGAGAGAAAATACCTTTGCTTCCTTTTAAACGGCCACTGGGAATTAGGGGACCTAATCGCGAAGTCCTGGTAGTGAAGAATGATCATCCATCCCCCCCTTTTTTTTTAGTTCAGGCACCACTGTAGAGACATTAGATTATTTTGAAACAGAAGACCTGAAAAATGAGTAATGCCCTCGCCAGGACTCAAACCTGGACCTCTTGAATATGTGCCAAGTGTGCTACCGTTACGCCACGAAGGCATGCAGAAAGGAAGGAGAAAGTACCTTATCTACTCCGTCTTTTAAAGGGGGACTAGGGATTAAGGGATTTAATTGCCAAATCCTGGTGGTAAAGAATCATCACCCACCACCTTTTTTTTTTTTTTTTTTTTTTTTTTTTTTTTTTTTTTTTTTTTTTTTTTTTTTTTTTTTTTTTTTTTTTTTTTTTTTTTTTTTTTGTTTTTTTTTTTTTTTTTTTTTTTTTTTTTTTTTTTTTTTTTTTTTTAGTTCGTGTGCCAATGTAGAGACATTAGGCTACTTTTAAACAGGGAACATGAAAAATGAACAATGCCCTTGCCAGGACTCAAACCTGGACCTCTCGAATATGCGCCTGAATACTGTTACACCATGAAGGTAAAGGACGGAGAAAATACCTTATATACTGTGCCTTTTAAAGGGTGATTTAGGATTAGGGGCCCCAGTTGCCAAATCTTGGTCGTAAAGAGTCATCATTCACCACCTTTTAATTCTGGCACCACTGCAGATATATTAGGTTATTTTGATGCTGGAGATGTGAAAAATGAGGAATGCCCTTGCGGGCACTCGAACCTGGACCTCTCGAATACGTGCTGAGTTTGCTTCCATTACACTATGAAGGCATGCAGAAAATACCTTATAGTATGTTATTATAACCAGCAGAATTATAGAAAACATGATTATTTATACAATTTTGGATCATTATAGAGCAAAATTAAAACTCGTTATTTGTAAAGGATTGCCGAAATAGAATAACAAAAATGTTGAGGGGAATATTTTACTAACAGTGACATTAACTAAAGCATCGTAGCTACTCTCATGACCAATATAACTGAAACTGTATCAGTTACCTAGGTAAAACCTTAAATATATTTTATAAAATTTTTCTTCTCTGGGAGTAATTATAAATTCCAGAAAGAAAATTTTTAGACTCTCAGAAAGTAATTTTAAACATTCATTTTTTTTATTCATCATGTTAAGTAAATGGCAACTGTATGCCAACTTGGAAATATTTTTTAGTCTTGCATTACTGTGCTTTTGCTGCAATATGGAAATAAATCTTTTGTTCTTTTATAAAAGGCACAAGTATAAACCTGGATGCATTAGAGTTGAATTCACCTCTGTTGGAAGTCTCCAGGAATAATTATTGCATTAACAGTTTAAGGCCTGACAGACTGGATTATCTTGGTAAATGCATTTTACATTTATTGTGATGTTGTTCATGAGCATATAATGTGAAAAATTACTTCTGTTGAAAGATTTTTCTCTCTCCCTTTTGTTTTGTTGTTAATTTTAATTTATGAGCTGAGAAATGCTTAAAATAATTGTATTTTATGTAATGCTGTCATATGAAAAAATTTTCAGGGCATTTCTATAAGTTTTACTATTATTCAAGAAAAACCTATGTATTAACATTATTTCAAGGCTAATTTTAAGCCATGTAAATATAAAATGTGCACGACTATTATAATTGCAGGATTTAAAAAAGTATATGAAATAGACACATGCCAGTAGAAAATATAAAATTAGACAAACATCAGCTTTAGACTGGCATAAATTTTTATAGCGATTGATATAGATCTTTCATATTCAAGGAGCAAAATAATCCAATTAGATTTAAAATTTTATCAGTTTCAAGGGCAACTGAGTATAAATCTCTCTTCTTTGAGTGGCAAAAAAATTTTATTTCGCATTTTGCATCTTGAAGAAAAGTGATCTATGCCTTTGCTGTAAGAACTGATGCAATATAAAGTTCCTTCCTTTATGTCTCTCTTGTTATATCAATATATCAATACAGTATGAAGTTCCCCCCCACTCTTTTTTTTTTTTTTTTTTTTTGCTTAATTACATGTTTGAAATTGTTCAAAAACAATATGCAAAAATTAAAATTTTATGTTCATTTTTAAATTTTGGATCGTCATTGCATTTTCTATAATTTATTAATTAGCTATTTATATTATTTGTACTAACTATTGGTATTTATTAATTGACTATTTTTACTTTAACAGATCTTGAAAGCGATGAAGATGATGATGCAACTGTCGGAAAAGATCAAGGTACAGTTCAGTTGCTATGAGATATATAATAAGTAACAGGGAGCATCAAAATAGTAATTTATGTAACCAGTATAATATTAAATTTATATAAGGATATGTAGAATATGTGACGTGCAAAGTCTGATATGTGAAATTATCTAAATTTAGAAGTTGCAAACTAACATCAATTTTTTTTTTTTTTTTTTTTTTTTTTTTTAAGTACTTAAAAATTGCTTGCATTTTGCAATTGCACTTTTTTTTCAAAGTAAAACATGCAGAGAGTCTTGATTCTTAATTTCACTTCCGTACTGATGCCAGCCTGATGAATCATTATTTGTTATTATTTGCTTTCATCACCGCATTTCTAACAACACACTACATGCCTGAGGCTGTTTCGGTTGACTGGGAAAAGGAGATTAAAAGATTTTGCTTCAGTAGGTACCAAAACTGTTAAAGTTTCTACACTTTTAATTAAATTTTCTGTGCTTTGATTTGCGAATCCATCTAAACATTTTGATTTTTTTGTTCAAGTCTCTCCTAGTATTAGCTAATGCTCATTCTGCCTGAGAGAGTTTTATTTCCTGTAAGTCAGGTCAATTTTGATTAGAGTAATGAGTCTGATTTTTGTTACTCATCTTGTATTTTATATTCTTCTAGAATTTTATCAATAATATTTTGCACGAATTCAACATCACTTGCATAAACTTTGAACTTTCTATTAAAGTTTTTAAAGTAATTATTTTCACTCTTTGGAATTATTAATCCTAATTCCTCTGCCATGAGCACCAGCTCATCTTTTTTCTTTGCTAGCTTAAATGACTTATAGCTCATCTTAATCAAATAATAATAATAATAAAATAACAACCCTGATTTGACTATTAGAATACAGGGAGTACCAAAAGAAAGGGGGAAGGAAAAGCCATTAAACTCAAACACTGTCAGTTCAAATTATGAAATAAGAGCAGCTTTATACATTGAGTTAAAATTGCTTTTCATCACATCCAAAAAATAGAAGCATTATTTTTCACTTTTGATTTCTGCACTCTTACATTACACACATCACATCCTGATTATACATCGACACCAGAAATTATGTTTGCCTCTTTGTACATGGGGACAAAAATTAAGCTCCACACTTAGAATGCAATGAATATGCATTTTTTATGATAAGTTTTCACTTAATTAGCATAAATATTTTATTTTGCTCTAACACATAAAAATGCCAACACAACTGGACGTTACGTCTTCAGAACACAGCTATATGAGCAAAACAAAATGTGTGTTGCCACATCACTGAAACAAAATCATAGACACTTCATCATTTAAAAGTAAAAATTGATCATTTTTAGTGTTTTATGAATAACAGCAGCACCTTCTTTCAGCAGGTGGCAACACAATGGATGTTGTAAGAAGCATGATAACATTTTATGATGATGTTCTGCTTGGTAATGATTACAGACTTAGTTAACTGTGCTGCAAAATGTTGAGTATCTTGACGAGAAGAGATTTTGTAAATAGTATTCAAAGGTCAAAAAGATTATTTTTAGTGTTGTTTGAATTGAGAATAATTGATTGGCTATTCAAATAAGCCCAGACCTGGTGCTAGAGCTGGTGTGGCTGCACTGGATAACAGAATTTGGGGCAAATTTATTTTAGGGAAGGCACTGGGATGACAAATTTAGGGATGGCAAAATTTTTAGAATTTAGGAAGGAACTTGGAAGCAGAATTTAGAATCCACTAAGAGTGCATTGAGCCATCAATTTTGAATAACGTTATCCTCCACCCAATATAGACATTTGGGAGCCCTAATTTGGAATTTTTTTATTATTGATTTCATATTTTGTAACACTCTAACTAATTTTTTGATTAACAAAGTCAACGATTTCAAAGCGAGTAATGGCAACACTGTACGGGGGGGGGGAATTTTTCTATCAACAGCGCGTGAGACTGTATATTGAAAATTCTAATGATATACTCATTTTAAAATTATTTTTGTGATATTGCTGTTGAATTGAATTTTATGGTTTATGTGCAAAGATAATAGATATCGCCAATCTGGCAACGATTTTGGTGGTTAATTTTTGTCACCAAATTTGGCGAGAGTCACCAATTTTGACAACATTTTGGTTTGGTCCCTGTGTCACCGTAATAGGCATTGTAAATGAATAACTGTAATTGATTTCATATGCAATTGTAACCATATTGGCCCTCATATGTCGTCCAGTAATTTCAAGAAGTACTAGACATTTCTGGGTGGCCGGGTGAAAACTATATAAGACAAGAATGCATAAATTTCTCAATTGTAGCTGTGGTTTGGTAGTTTAGCATGAGTGCACAGTATTGAAATGCCTTCAGGTTAGCTTTGCTCTTTAGATGCACTCTGCATTGCATTGTGTTTAACATCCTTACTAGTTTAAAGTGTTATTATTAACTATATTCTGTGTTGCTTTGAAGAGATATATGATTATTTTTTATGGAAAGCTCCAGAGCTGTGAAGTGTTACTTTAGGTAAAATAAATTTTATCAAGCTGTAATCATTTCTGTGTGCATTCAGTCTGTTACAAACCCGTATGCACACAACAGTAGTGTCTTTGCAGCACAGCCAAGTGTCCTATCTGTTGGTTTGATGGTAGGGGTAGAGAGATGGGAGACACTTGGGTCTGTCCCCTGCAGGGTTTTCCTTCAAATCTGAGCTGGAACTGGATAAGTTGTACTCTCACCTCTGAGGTGCCCAAGACCCATGTAATGTTATGCTTAAATTCACAGACTAGTTCTGATGTTACTCTCAAGGGTGTGAGATAAGCCACAGCCTTCAGTTGGGTCTTTTAAGAAATTTGCAATTAGACTTGAAAAGCGCATTAAATATGCAGGTAAAGATATACAATATGTTGAGTAATAATTTTAACTTTCTAAACTAATGAATCTGATATTGACTCTTATTTAAACTGATTCTCAGCGTGTGCTGTGAATTGTTCACAGAAGTCGTAAAAAAGCCTTTGTTTTTGCAACTGTTGATTGTAAACATATGCTTTCAGTTGCAAAAATGTTTTAAATGATGCAAATATTCATATTTTGACATTTTTAAACTTAAAAGATCAATTTTGTAAACATATATAAATCTAAATTTTTCTATGATTCCCTGATTTTTCTTACAGTTATGAAGAAAAATTTATAGTCATTAACAGGGCTGGCTTCAACATTTTTTATATCCTAGGCAATCAGTATACTTATAATAAAACTTATAAAGATGTAAGACCTTTATAAATTAACACGTTCACGCCGGGGTCAATTTTTATGTTCTTCGCTGTGAGATGGCGCTCGAATTTTTGCCACGTTTCGTCTGACGGCGCACGATTATTACCTGTTCAGACCTGTATACGAATTGTACATTTGCTAATAGTTATTAATTATAATTGTTATTAAAAATTTTTTATAAATTTTAATTTTTCATTATTTTAATTTTCAGCATCTAATAACACAATCGAATGCGTACCGTCGGTGGCACAAGCTGCCCAATAATACAGACTAGTGTGGGCCACCGGTGGTATGTGCCACCCGATGAGACAGACTAGTGCAGGCCACCGGTGGTATGCGGCGCCCAATGAGACAGACTAGTGCCACCGCCGTGTCGGCGTGAATGTGTTAAACATATTAATTATTCAAAGCAAAGTATACCTTTGTTGTTATGAAAACTGAACTGATGTTTTGCTTTAAAAATGATTAAATTGTGTTGTTCTTATTTTTCGGTAAAGGCTTTTATGCCTTTAATTAATCTGCAGTAGTTGTAGAAGTATCAACAATGTAAAAGTTTTTTAAGTGTGGCTAAGCCTAATTTCTTTTACCGTAGCAGCCATATTTGTTTACATTTGAAACCTAGCAGAATAGTGAATTAAGGCAGTTTCTGCACCTTCAGTGCCTTTTTACCAAGTGGGACCAGAAGTAAACTTAGTTTTGTGCATCGAAAAATCTGCCTTCTTGCCTGCTGGCCAAATAGCTTGTTTTTGCTTAGAAACTCTAATTTTAATTTTTTTTTTAAATATTTTTAATTGTTTTAACTCTATTTTGGTGTTTTATGTTTTCTATATTTTTCAATTTTTAATGAAGACATTTTATGTATTTTTGCCTTGCTGCAAAGTGAAAAATGAATTAAGTCTCTAATGAAATTTGAAAAAATAAGTTTAAATGAAAAGCAGCAAAAAAATGCATTTAATTTAATATTCTGTACAAGGAAGTCATGTGATGTCTATATCAGATTTTTTATTTAAAATTTTGTAATATATAATATGCCAAAAGAATTTTCATATAAGTAGTTTCTAAAATTGAAAATCATAAAAATACGTTAATATTCTCATGCAGTTTTATTATGTGAGAATCATAATCTAATAATCATACAAACAGTTCATCCAAAATATTTTAAATTTTTAATTTGTGCAAATAATGTTACTAATTGTCTGTAAGACAGTACTGAAGCCTGCCACTATTTTTTAAAACACAAATTCTGTAAGATTCTGGGAATAAGATCTCTTTTATGGAAAAAATTATATTGTTCAATTATTTTCTCAACAATCTATGCAGCAATGCTTATTACTTAATCCATTAACGCAAAAAACTTTTTTCAAAACCGATATGTCATTTTTATTTGCATACAATTGCAAATATTTCATTCTTCAGTTTGTGTGTGGCCCCTGAATAATGATATCAAACTCTAAAATTAAATATTTAAGTAAATTTTTGTCATATGGAATTAAACATTTTATGTACTATATTTTTTATAATTATTATAAGATTTCCGGGATTGAGGATCATACAAAAAATTACATTTCATGTTGTTTCAAGATTGTTCTTTAATTTAAAAATGGCAAAGAATGAATATTTAAATTATTTTTTGTAATTAGAAGTGTATCCATTTTTAATGTACTGTGCAGCCAACAGGCGATAAAATAAACGCTGCTTAATTTTTATAGACATGGTGTATATTTTTTCTTTTTAATATTATACTTATATAGCACTAATTTAATAATTATGATGTTTACTTTGCTTCTTATCAAACATAAATCTCACAGTGGTATAAAGCTAATAAATCATTTGTAAGCATCGTAATTAGTTTCATTGAAAAAGTTTTTTGTTTGTTTAAATTTCATTGTGTTTTTTAATTTTTGCATATATAGGAGTTACACCTGGAGATGGTGAAAACAAAGAGCCAACTGAAGAAATAGCATTTGCCCCAAGTGATATCAATGTGGAGTGGTCTGAGATATTTGAATCTCCATTATGAAAATGGCAGCTGAATTTGTACAAGTTTTTTTTAAATATTTTTTGTATGATCCATTTACTTCAGATTTAGGAGAGTAAAGCAGATGCATATATTGTATATTAGTGTTCATTATGAAATGCAGAGCATTTATATTAAGTTCCTGTTCATTGTTATGGTGACTGTAGAAAGTCCCAGAATATTTTAATTTTGAATAAATTATATTTTGTTATTCTGTTGGTCCATGATAAATCATAAGCTTTAGCCTTTAAATATTCACTTTTCTAAACAATCTAAGTATTTAAGTCCCAATATGGTTATGTGAATTAATGAATTTATCAATTTTCTAATTTCTAAGAGAGAAATTTTTAACATGAAGAAAATGAATAGTTGAGATACAATAAACATGTTTCATCTTTAGTTATTATGAGTTATAATTGATATATTAAATAAAAACATGGTAATAACAACTAGTTAATGAAATAATCATTTATGCATACATCAGACGTAAATAGATTGCACAGTTAAAATCATGCTTACCAGCTGCCATTAGGAATTTAAAAATATATATACAGTACAAAGTCTGTAATCCAGACGTCCATTATCCGGAATGATCTATAATCCGCACCTCAAAGCTACAAACTTTTTTTTGTATGCTTTATGCATGTGCGTAACGCATGCGTGTTTAATGTTACACATGAGCGTTCAATGTTTACGCATGCACATTTAGCACAAAAAATGAAGCAACTTAAATAACTTACATTGAAAGAAATGTTTAATAAAGTAAACAAATAAATATTAAGCTTTTTTTTTTTTTTTTGTAAATCTTGATACCCTTTAGATGATACCCTTACCAGATTTAAATTGATGATCTATAATCCAGAATTGCTGAAGTCCCGACGAGTCTGGATTACAGACTTTGTACTGTATATTCAAAACTTAGAAACAAAAGTAAGATTAGTAAGAAAAAAAGAAAGAGGGAAAGAGAATTTCCTTCTTTCCATTGTAAAAAGCACTGGAATCGGGAATATAACAATTTAATCAGATTTCATTAATTCTTGATTTTTTCATTAAGAAAAATTTCTTTAAGTTCAAAAAAGTTTTGCTTTATCCTACATAAGCATTTAAACTTTTGAGTCTAATTAATGTATGAATTTTAATACTGCCATAAGTTTTAAAACTGGAGAATCTAAGATTTTCAGAATTGCATTGTTTTCTGCAATACGTTTTTCATAGAATGCATCATGAGTTGACTAGAAAGTCTGATAAAGAATTCACAAAAATAATTTTTATTCCCCCCACCCCCCACAGTAGATGACGATAGAAATTAAGCTGTTTTTAGAATCATCTGGAGCCAGTATCATAGATGCTTTATAGTATGTTAATTAAGGTCTTTTATGATATTTATTAACACTTGAGGACAGATAATGATTACTTGCATAAAAAAGCACCACCACCTTTTACATTAATTCAGATTTGTGCTTGATGATAAAAATATTAATTACTGTAATAAATAGTTTTATGTTATTTTAATATTAATGTGTAGATTTGTAATGTTTAATTTTATGGTCCTCTTCTACTGCTTTTGCTTACTGCATTTCATAGATGTTGGTCCACAATATTTGAAGAGCAGCTTGGCAATCAAGGCAAACTAAATATTCATCTTCATTTCTGTAAACATGTTGCCCTCGCAAATAACTCGGCAGTCTAATTCCCACATATTTCAAAGTGTTTACATTTTGGATAGTTTTTCTGTAAAAAGACAAGCAGCACTCTTTCTAGGCTGAAGTGCAGAAAGAGAGTGAATTCTGTTCAGAATGAATTAGTTTTGGTATTCAATGCATTTGATTGGGGAAAATTAATAATGCTGTAAAATTATTATTGGCTGTTTGAGTGTTAGTTCCATTTACATTGCCAACGTTATGTAAGAGTCATATGACATGGCTTAGTCTCAAAATGATGCAATGCAGAAAAAGATTACTATTTTTAAAACAGACAGAGTAAATACTGAAATTAAGCATAAAGGGTCTATTGCTAATTTAAATTATAATTTATAGCTACAATTTACATTTTTTTTTTTTTTTTTTTTCTTACATATCCCCCCTTGAAAGAGGGATATGCAAGAAAGAAAAAGAAAAATGCTTAGCAACAAAGAAGTCTTAAGCATTAAAGCAGTAGTAACATCTCTTTTTTATTATTATTATTATTATTATATTTTTACTGAATGGCTTGTGAGTTGCTTGCAAAATTTTTACATGGCCCTTCACATGAAAAATTTAGGCAGTTATGAGCCTGAAAATTTTAAATATCTTTTATATGCAACCTACAAAATAAAGGATATGGGAGAAGGTAAAACATAATGAAATTACATGTATTGCATTTTTAATTTTTTGACTAACAAAATATTCTGCGACTTTTTGCATACTTGTAATTTAGTTCATTTTCTATTTTGTAGTTTTTAATGAGTTTATGGTGAGATGTTTTGTAAACGTTTGTCTGTTCTTTCATGATACATTGTTATGAAGCACAAAGTACATAATCATTAGTGTTCATTTGGATCATACTCTCTTAGCATGTGATATAGCATTAATAAACATTATTTGTTAGGGAATATTTTTTTTTTTTTGTGTGTGTGTGTTTAGTGATTACATTTCGTAATATTTTGGGTGCAATAATGATTGTGATAATAATGACAGCCATTTGCACATTGACAGAGTTTTACATATTTTGTTGTAGCTAATAATAGTTAATTATCCATTTCTTAGAAAGTTTTTTTTGGGGGGGAGCAGTATTAAATCATAATTATATATTGAATAATATGAAGTTAGCTTTTCTTTTATCTTTCTGTTATAAAAGATACTGCATGCTGTTAATTTTTATATCCCAGTTCTCTTACTTTTCAGGTACTAAAATCCAAGTGAATAATTTGCAATGTGTAATTTATTTACTGATGTTGAAGTCAGCTATTAATGTTCTCATATAGCATACTATGTATAAGTTGTTTTGTAAAGATTTTTTTTTGGGGGGGGCCTAAACCCAAATTGCAATTGCAGTATCATATTTAAATAAAATATTTATTTATTAGCATGTAATAAACCAAAGAATCTAAATATCATTACTGTTAAGGAATTCAAATAGCCAACATGAATTTATTCATTGTACTGATATTCAAATGTGAATTCATTTTATTTTTATCAGTAATCAACAGTTTAGACGCACAAATTACATAATGTAGTAATTTTTCTTTTGTTTGTGCAGTTATGTCATACCTTAACCCTCTGCCCGCATGTGATTTCACTAGGAAAGCCAACATTTCCTACAACTATCTTAGTATTTTTTTATTTTAATGCAAAAATGCCCCTGATATTTTATAATTGGATTTATATACCTTTTATGAATTGCTTTCATTCCTTGGACATGCAGGTATGTATGCTTTCTTAGACATATCACAAAAAATATTCTAGGCCATATATATATATATATACGGTTTTGCTGGTCAGAGGGTTAATGTATCATGGTGAAAAACATGATTTGGGGGCCGCAAAAATCAGAATGATGGCCAGATTTTCTTTGTAACTAATTATACATTTTGACATTGTTTAAAATATTTTTAAGAACATATTAGCTATAAATTGAGAAGTGGCTATGTTTCTAAAATGATTTTCAATTATTTTCAAAATTCTTGCATGTATCATATACTTTGCAATAACGTAGCATTTTAAGCATAATTTTAAAAGTTCTATTTTTTAAAGAACATTTGTTATTTGTCATTTCATCATCTGTATTAACTTTTCTGTACATGTTTTCTAAAACCATACAAAACCTTTTTGCACTTTAATGTTTAATCAAATGTACATTTCTTGTATTTTCATAATGTGTCATTGTGTAATCATACAGGTTAACCCCCTCCCAAAAAAGTATGGTTTAAAAGGTTAAATGCATAAAAGTTAGTTATTTTAGTTATAATCTTTGTTGATATCTATATAACCGTGACATAAAAATCTCATTCTATAGTAATTGGAAAGAGTTAATATTTTTGACATTTTCAGGGGAGGTTTTTACCCAGCAGAACAAAGCAAATCATCTGTTTTGCAGGCAGGTGAAATGAAAAGAAATATTTGCCAACAAAACTGTCTTTTAGTTTCTGAAAATTTGAGATTTCTTATTACGAATTCCTTATTTTCCACCCTTTTATTAAATATTTTTCTTGTTACTTTATTAATTCATATAAAGTAATATACAGAAAGGAAAAAATGAAATAGAAAGATTTTTCATTTTGCCAGTTAGCACTGCATATGCCAGATTTGCAGACTTTGTGTCATGCACTTTATACTAAATACGTACTTCTTTTAGGACAAATATACTACATTCATATAGTTTGTTTAGCTTACTTTTAAATGAATTTGTTTAACATTAAATGGCTAACCTTTCTTTTTATCTTTCTGTCGTAGCACGGTGCTACAAGTAGTTTCTTTACCTTCTGAAAGTTCAGTAGTCGTGTGTATCATCTACTAGTCCTAGAGTTCAGTCATTATCATTGGTAGTCACTGCTGAGCTATATTTATTTATAAATGTTATTTGGGATCAGCAGTTAATTTTTAGCAGATAGTGTTTTGTTTTTTGTTTAAGATTATAAGTTAATAATAGATTTTAAAGAGTGTATGTTTTTAAACCCTTTGCGGCACAGTGTGTCCGGTCCGAACACACCTAAAAATTTCCTTCTGTTCGCACAGAAAAATTGAATGAAAAAGGATTTATAGGTTACTCTAAACGTTCTTTATTTATAGTAGATGGCAGCTCAACACAAACTAGTCCATATATTTTAGCCATGTTTAGTTTTTTAAGACCCTCATTTTTCAAAGAAATCTTCCAGGTTTTTTTAGAGTATAAAAGGAATTGTTTAAAAAAAAATTTCTATGCTTTTTTGCTCTTCTTTTTTTTTTTTTCCCTTTGTATGCTAATCTCTTTATTCTATATTAGTTTTAAATTTTTACCTTGAAATCTTGCCTAAAATCAAACGGCAAACCGTAGGTGTGCCTAGATCAGGCTCACTGATAATCTAGGACAACTGAGAGTCTGTATTCTTTGTTTCTCCGCATCTCATCGGTCAGTTCATTGACAACAATGCTCGTTTCAGCAGTCTCTTCAAAGCTTTCTTCAATCAGTGGCACTTTGGGCACACCCACAGAATTAAACAATAAGTGCTATCTTCACAAAATTTTACTTGTGTAC